GATGGGCAGTTATTTGTTTGTGCCATAATTGTGCGTTCGGCTCATTGATGTGAACGTTGGGCTGGACGTTGGGCTGGACAAAAAAAAAACCATTGGCGAGTTCATTAACTGACTATTTCTATTTTCGCTTCGTTGATCAGTCAGTTATGTTTCCCTTTCCGTCTTTCCATTTATCGTTAGCTAATCATTTGATGTAATAATTATTTAAATCACCTCGCGACTAGTACAATAACCTGACTATTTGTTTATACATTTCTGTAAATAGAGCTGCTGCCTACTTTCCCCCTCTTTCTCTCTGATCAAAGTGGAAATGGCATGAAAAAATGCGTTCTAAAGCATTATAAAATTGTCCGAATTCCATTGACACAAGCAATCACCGAAAGAATTTTCTCTTCTTCGAATAAAATACATTTTTTTTGCCATTTAAAATCCACCGTTCACCGACATTTATGCGTCATTTTGCCATACTCGAAAAGTGCATTCGTGCAATAGTAATAACAAAACATCAAACATAATTGACGTGGTAAAATATGCATAAAGATTCTTGATCCATGCAAAAAGCCTCACAAATGAAAGAAGCTGCACGCAATTCAGTCTACAGCGGCATCGATTTGTGTTTAAGCAAGCGAATAAGAAAAGTAAAAGTTTACGATAAAACAATAATGCATTTCACATTTGTGGGCGCTGCTATTGTTTTCCTCTGGTGCCTTGCCAAGCGGATGATAGCAAAACTGATGATTTGTATAAACACATTTGGCTTGAGCTGCCGCTTGCGATTCAATTTTGGTTGTTGCTTTTTTTGTAGTTGTTGCTTTTCTTCTATACAAACGATACAAGCATCAAAATACACACGATAATAATAAATACGTACATCGATCATGTATCACGCTATGACCGATGCCGCTCCGTTCAGCTCTTTGTGTAGCTATAGCATCAAAATTGGCGGTTGCGTTGTGTACTTGATATTCTTCACACACTTCCATTCAGTACGTCGCTCCTTTTAATTCAGTATTCAGTATTGATATGGACACCGTCGGTTAAGGTAGCAACTTCAAGCGCCGTTGTTTTTTTTTTTATATTTTTTGTAAACGATATTTGATAAACTACGTTGTTTGTCAAATAAACGGACAAAGTCTCTTTTTAAGCAAGTTATAAAACGCGCGCATATATTTTTTTTTTGTATTTTCGTACGTGTTTTGTTTTTTAACGAAAAAACAAATATTCTATATAAAGTCAACGTTTTCAATTTATCTCAATAAATTTTAACAAAGTGAAATTTTTTGCATATGATCGATCATTTATTCGATCATATTCAATCATTTACTGTGTGATTTTACAAGGATTTCTTTTTTTCCTTCATAAATCCAAAATTTTCTTGTTTTTGTTCTCGATTGAATTCGATTCTTTTATGCTCATATCACTCATCAATTGTTTATGTTGTGTAAACGATTTGAAAGGAGATGGAAAAATTGATTTTCAATGTGTGTCTATCGGCATATTTTTCATCGACTCCAATGATTCGAAACTGTTTTTGATTGACTTCAATGTCCCGCTTTTACCAGATTTTTTTTCGGTGCTTTTGTTTATCATATTTGTTCACATTGAATATCGAACCGAACACACATAATTAAACGCACGTAATGGAAAGAAACAAATCTGTGAGTGGCTTGATTGATTGATTTTGCCATTGAATTGGTTAATTTGGACCTTTTGAACAATTTTAAGATCGATGTGCAACGTCGTGCTTTTTTATCTGTGGCCACAGCAATTAAATCAGTAAATGAAAACAAATATGAAAAAATCACTTGATCATGTATTGTTTTATACCATAGTAGATTTTGTTTCCAGAAATTGACATAATTGTAATATTGTTCAGCCGATAATTAAAGTGACATTGCATAACACATTTATTTTATTATTTTCAACGTTTTAATGTTGTTTATTTCGAATGGGTCACACAGTAGCGTCCAGTTTCATTCTCTTTGGTGGGTCTTAATATATGCACCCGCAATAAAAAAAACCTTAATGTAATATTTTTTCCGTCTTACAATTACAGACGCCAATTTCATTTAGCCCGTTCGCTAATTCGTTCGGCACTAATTTCAATAATACTTTACGTATGTCGTAATTCAGTTTTTGAATATTTATCGTAGTATTCTTGGATGCATGTTAAAACAAAATTTGAAAGACATAAAATTATAATAGAGGCGATTGTCACATGTAAATTAAATAGAACTAATCTACTTTCGAAATGTGTCGATTTCAACCAGCGACAACAATACGTCGTGTACACACAATGATCAAAAATTGGGGCTGTCTATTACGACTGAAATGATTGTGAGAACCTTCGATTCGCAGAACGCACTGCCAAACACGCATACAGCATGAACTTTTTTTTTCTTCACTTCTTCGTCTCTCATCAGTTTTACGATTTCAGTTATAAAAAGCATGACATCACATGCAAAATGGCACAGAGTCAACTAATTGCTAATTAAAACTGCATTTTAATGAAGTTTCATTTCGGAAAATCGACACTTATCCGAAATCGTTATAATTTAAGCCGCTAGTAATCCATCTGAGCGACGCTGTTGATAGTATTTCTCATAATATTTGCTATTTGCTGTTGTGATCTAATGTAAAAGAGAAAATAAATGCAAACAAATCACATTAATACGTCCATTCGTTCTTATTTTTCGTGTCCAATACAGTTCATTTAATTGGAGCCGCATTTATGTAAGCTGGTAGTAATTTACCAGCCAATAATAGCACTTGATTCACTAAAATAGTGACAGATCTATGCGTGCGCTCATGTGCACTTTCTTTTTGAAATCCGGAAGAATTTTTATATACAAAAAAAATGTTTATAAATATACTTGAGAACGAAACTCAATTAAGTGGATTTATAAACAAATCCGAAAACAAAAGACGAAACGAATAAAAAAATCCGTGGATTTTTAGAGAGACAAGGAACGAGAGAGAGAGAGAGAGAGAGAGAGAGAGAGAGAGAGAGAGAAAGTGCTTTGGAATGGAATTACTTTTGAGGGGAAATAAAACAACATAAAAATATCAAAACTTGGAAATATGCCAGCATTTCTTTAATTTTATAAAGCTTTGAACGATCGAATCGTCAATAAATCGCAAATTCACGCAATCATCAGCACTTTGACTGGTACTTACAACCCGCCAAGATGACTGTATATCAAAACAACAGCAAACAAAATAATAATACGCGGAACCGTTGTATTTACAAAGCAAATCCGACACTGACGATGGCATCATACATTACACCAACATTGCAACATCTTCTGAAATTCCGAAACGACAAAGAAAAAAAAAAAGTCAAATATGCTAAATTTCAAATTAAAAAGTGAATGTCCGTCACTTTGATCGCAGTGATTCATTCAAAATTCACCAAATTTGTATTTTCTACCGCTGGCATTTTGATATAGTTTCCCAAACACTAAACATACGGTTATTTCGATGTAATAGATACAATATTTAAATATTGATGGAAGACTGAGCGTAATTGAAACCACTGATCATGATCATCTGATTATAATTATATTTGCATAGATCAAACTGTATGTTGGTGCACACTGCGAACGGAACTGATATACATTTCCCAGTTGTAAGCAAATTTTCGGAAAGAAGAGTGAATACCAAAAAAAAGTGCGTCACACCGCACACAATAAATGAAAGTGATGACAATCGAATTAAGGGTACGCAACGAAGGCAACGAAGTCTTATTTGAATAAATCTAGCAAATTAATTCGAATGTATTTATTTAAAAGCAGATCCACTGTAGGGCAATGCATACGCGTGTAAATGAGAAAGTTGTTGATTTGATTTGGCAAATATTTGGGACACCGACGAGAAAGTCCATTAAATTACTTAATACAATTTATGGTTTCGGACATTACAAATCGGTTGAGAAACAAACAAGCAAACAAAAAAAAACATTGTGATCGCTGGATCCCACTGGATATGCGTAATGACCAAATTATGTTTGCGTAGTTAAAATTGTTTTGTTCAAGGGGACCGAAATAAGTTACACTATTTTATTAGCCGAGTTTCAAATCTGTTCAATTTCAATCCAATTTCATTTGAATTTCGAACACCAATTTATGAACGCCAAGGTTCGTTGAACTTGAAGAGTCGTTTAAATGATTGTTTAATTTTTTAATCAGTATTCAAATCTGAATTAGCTTGTTGCCACCAAATCGGTGAATCGCTCATTGATTTCTTTCTCTTGTGGCTCTTCAAATGGGTCGATGTTCGGTTGCAAATCTCTCTCTCTCTCTCTCTCTCTCTCTCTCTCTCTCTGTGTGTGTGTGTGTGTTTTACAACCATCATCGTGCTTTGCTAATCCATATTTGTTTGAATGCGATTCAAATTCATGGAGTGAATCATTCACTTGATAAAAACTGTTGCAAATAGCACACACCATATGAACTATTCACAATTGCCAATCAATTGATACATATGAGACGATTTTCCTTGTTAAATCCCACTGATAAATTGAATATCGTTGACTTTGCTTCATTAATTGGCCATATAAATTATATCCAACTGGTCAATTTATGTATATACATTTGCGCATATATATTATTCGATGATTCTAGAGTAAAATTCACGTGTTATGAAAATATTTGCAAGAATATTCGATTAATGCGACTCGAAATTTTTTTTTCCAACAAAATACCAAGTTAATATAATATTTCACTTTGCATATTTTACAAAAACAATTCGAGCGTTGAATGTATACATTTTGCAAATATTTTGCACGGTATTTTGATTAGGATTTGAGCCCCTAGATATATACCTCTTTGTAAAGCACAAACTATTCTGGTACTTTCAATGATTCATTTTGGCACATCCATATCAGTTGTATACATCTAGCGGTATAGAATCTATACTAATAGAATATATACCAATAGTTGATAATACAGATGTGGCAATACAAAATTGAATCGTTGATTACAATTCATATTGATGAATGAATTTATGAAAAAGTTTATTAAATATTCCAACTAAATGGATATTCATAAAATGTATGATTAAAACAGGTCAAAGGTTTGCATAGTACAAAATTGAAAATTAAAAAAAAAGAGAGAAAAACAGAAAATCAATCGATTGAATATATAATTGGAACGTGGTCGTAAATAATTGAGTGCATGCATAAAAGGACAATCAAAGAGAAAGTAATATTGATATTTATAAAGAACGAATAATAAGAAGACGAACATTTAAAAATGTTTCGATTAAAGAAATCCACAAAATCGACAACAAAAACGGAAATTCTAACATCGTCACAAGACATACCGACAACAACAAAAGATTGCAAAAAATTAATTCTCGACAACACACGATGGGAGGCAAGTTAAACGATTTGCATACGAAACTTGGCAATATTCTCTATTTTGTTTTTATATATAATATCTCTGTAGAATTTGAATATATTACAGTAATTGAAATCAGTTGAATTTTTTTTTAATTATTTCTTTTTTATTCAAATTACAGCGGCGATTACAAAAGGAACTTATGTCATTGATCAAAGAGCCACCGCCAGGTGTTGTCGTTGATGCAGATAGTATTAGCCAAAATTTGACTCAGTATGTGACATTTTTTTACAAAAACACAATTCTTGATAACTAATGCTAAATTTCACTTTTAATAAAAAAAAAAAAATAGATGGAAAATTAATATGGATGGTGTAGAGGGCACACTCTACGAAGGGGAACATTTTCAACTTTTATTTAAATTTAATAATAAGTATCCATTTGATTCGCCGGGTAAGTGGATTCGTTATGTCATACAATTTCTTACGGAGCTGTTATTGGCACCGTGAAGGTGCGGGCACTTATCTTGTATTTGGGACCTGAAATTTCAGATGCTACATTTGAAAAACTAAACAGATAAAGTAGTATCTCCGGTGCCAATAACAGCTCTGATTTTTAAGTTCATTGGATCCGCTTCAATTGAAACGCAATAATTATTTCTCTATAAACAGAGGTAACATTCGTTGGACCAAATATACCCGTGCATCCGCACGTCTACTCAAATGGTCACATCTGTTTATCAATTTTAACGGAGGACTGGTAAGTAAAATGATTTAAATGATAAAAATGATGATAAAATGCATTTTCATTAATTATTCAATTTCCCGCGCGCTCGTGTACATAGGACACCTGCGTTATCAGTACAGAGTGTATGCTTATCAATTTCATCGATGCTCAGTAGTTGTCGGGAGAAAAAGCGGCCACCAGATAACACACTTTATGTTCGAACATGTAATAAAAATCCAAAGAAAACAAAGTGGTGGTATCACGGTATGTCTAGATTTAACTTGCTATCGTCGTCACATATTACATTTTTGTGGCTTCAATTGTGTATTCAAATGTGATTTAATTTATTTGTTTTCATTCACAGATGACTCGGTATAGAACGAATCATTATGAAACTGTTGACAATTGAAATTATTTATAATGAGAAGAAACCAAGAAATCAAATCTAGATAGATGGACGACGATGTTTTTGTGGACAATATCAATTGAAACCGGTTGACTCTTGCGTACACACATACACATACACAGAGACACCAACACCCATATAAAATACCAGAAAATATATACATATAATCTCTCTCTCTTTTACACAAACACACATATAAATACCAACAACAAAACACGAAGCAACAGAAAAACAAATAACCACTGCTATTCACGGTGAAGCAGAGGAACAAGTAATAGAAATTTAAAATTTGTATGAAACATCGATGTGATTCTCAAATTTAAAGTAATGAAATTGATAATGGAATAGTTTTTAAATTATTATAATTCCTGTTGAAAATGTGTATCAAATCATGAATGAAAATCAGAAATCTGCTAAAGCAAAAACAAAAATGAAAGGAAATGAAAACAAATTGCAACTGATTCAGATGGGCTGTTTGTGCCAATATATATATATATATATATATAGTATATATATTAAATGTATAATAGAATCAGGTTGGATTATTATACTAAAAAAGGACATTCTGTTCAGTTTCGATATTTTAATGAATCACTCGCTCCCTGCCAACCTGTAGATCCTATACATAACCTTCGTTTTTGTCATTTGCTACCGGATGAAAGAATGAATTATTTTACGAAATATATTTTGTAGTACCGACACGAGTAAGTAAACCAGTATCGCTTTCAAAATAGAAACAAATTTTCAACGCAATCACATGTTGAATGCTATGCATTGAACTCGAACAATGCTTTGGATATCTTATTTAGTCTTTTGTTTTAAATACGGGAGAGAAAAAGCACTTCACATTCCACACAGACACAGTAAACTCCTAACTTTTTAGGACCAAACGATTTTCTTTTTATGTTAGCTGGCAATAGATAAAGACAACAAGATCAGAGACACCCACTTAACACATTTTATTTATACATAATAAGTAATTTACAAGCAAGCAAAAAATAAACATGCAAAATGGATCGATTTTCATCAAACGAATGTATTGTAATAGGTTCATGTTTTCTTTTGTTTTGTATACAATACATGTATTTAAACAAAGCCATTGTAAATACTATCCAAATCCCCGTCCCCGGGAATATGTGGAAATATGGTAGTCATGTGAAATTGTACACTGATTACATCATGGAAAATCGAGAAATTTTTATTGATTTACCTGAAATGTTCACGAAGAGAAAATGAATGGCTTGATTATTTCATCAACTGTCAATTGTTACTATTTTCATTGAATTTCTGGCGCCATTACTATAATTTATGTGTATAAATTCAGGTATTTAAAGAAATCAAAAAGAAACAAATTTAAGATCGAACACCGAAAAGAGAGCTAAAGATACTGATTCATTAAAAAAATCTCTTTAATGCGGATTTCCTTTTTTTTTAATTAAATTTAATTCTCTGCATTTTCTCGTGTTCATCCTTATGAATACATATTAATTGTCAACCTCATTATTTTTTTTTTAAACTCATGAAATTGATGATGATGATTTTTTCTCCGCGAGTCCGTAAAAATATAGTAACACTTTTTTCCTGTTCGAAAAGTATGTGATGCTTGAATTGTGTGCCTGAATTAGCACTGCAATATAAGCGATATATTTCATAAAAAAATATAATAAAATATTATAAGACGAAGCGAAGAATGAATTTTTTTCGATTAAGTAATTGATATTTTTCTAATTAAAGTTATTCATTAGAAAATAAAAAGGCTCATACAAAACTGTTTGTTTTTTACTTTTGGAAATGTCATTCTTTCTATGATTTTATAGCATATACTTGGGTCTAATGTCGGCGAAATGTTAAATGAATACATTAGAAACGTCCTCGAGAAAATTGTCGTCATGTATCCAGCTAGACGATCACTTTTTGGATTGATAGATTCAACTTGAATTTTTGAACACGCATTTTGGCGTTAGCTTACTTTCTACCGAAGAAGCGCCTCAAGCGTCGTATGATAAAAAGGTAAAAAATGACTTTCAGGCCGTATTTGCAAACAACTGGAACTATTTTCAAATTTCAATGTTTTTTTTAAATCTATGGCTAAAAGGAGTTCAAACCATACATCAATCGCGGCGAAATTTCTTGATTTGCAAATGTCGTTTTTGTATAGCGAGTCGACTTTTCAAGTCGAAAACCAGGGTGGTTTTACCACTCGAAGAGTCATTAGAGAATAGAAATGAAGAAGTTTCACCGAACTTGCATCATAGAAACGTATATTCCAAGTCGTGTGTAACACTTCAAATGTAAACATATTGAAAATTGAGGTTTTCGATCTTGAAAAATGAATGTTATTATTCATTGTATAAAAGCGATACTCTGGAAATTCCTTATTTATAAAGAATTCCTTATTTAAACTGTGTGTTATAGGCATATATATAATACTCGTGAACAATGAACAATATATACATTAGGTAATCTAAAAAAAGGGTAATATAAAAAAGAAAGATTTGGTATGAATTATAAAGAATTCCGCTGGTTAATAAATAAAAAATTATTATTATTTTTTTCGTTAAAGAAAGTACGATGCTTAATTGTATGATGCAATAGAATAAGTCTACTTACTGTATTGAATTGGATGATGCAATAAAATTAGTATAAAAGCTTGATTGATTGATTGTTTCAGACATCAGTGAATTGTCCTCTGAACCAAGAATTAAAGGAACCTTAGCGAAAGAAATAAAGAGCATTTTCAAAAAATAACGTTTTCAAAAAAAAAAAAAAAAATCAGAAAATTAAAGATCGTAAAGTACGAGCAATTTCTACCGAAATGTTTCGAATTGGTAGTTTTGTTGTTGTGGCGTGGATGGTTTCGATTTCCGATGCGATTTATGACGAAGTTTATCGACCCCAATTGCATTATAGCCCGCCTAAAGGATGGTTAAGCGATCCGAATGGCTTGATTTACGGAAATGGCATTTATCATATGTTCCACCAATGTCAGCCGGATGATGCCAACACTATAAGTAAGAACCATAGATGATTTAAATTAAAAGACAAGAAATAATAAAAAAAAAACTTTTCTTCCAAATCAGGTGATATTCACTGGGGGCATGCAATATCTACTGATCTGATTCATTGGAAAACGCTTGAGCCGGCACTGTATCCACCAGATAAAGGAACCGCCTTATTTTCGGGTGGCGCAATCTTCGATTACAAAAATATTACTGGGCTCCAAACTAACTCCAATATACCGACATTAATATTGATGCCTGCTCCGGCTGTATGGAAAACACGTAAACAAAATGTTTGGTTGGCCTACAGCAATGATGCTCCTGAATACGTCAAATTTAAATATTATGAGAAAAATCCAATAATTCGCGGACCCCCAGATACCGAAATAATAACAGCTTTCAGAGATCTGACCGTTTTCAAGCACCAAGATTATTACGTTTCAATTATAGCAACATATAATCGCATGCAGTTTTATCATTCGCGTAATTTATTGAAATGGGAGCTTGTAAGTGAATTCGGAGAATTCGACGGAGCACATACCGGAAGATGGGAATGTCCGTCACTCTTTGAATTTACCGTCCCACTTGGAAATGGGTAAAACAAGGAAATGAATCTTTGTCTGATTTTCGTGTGAATTAACATTTCTTTTTCCTCTTTTTTTTCAGAAAACAAATAAAAAAACATGTCTTACTAGTTACCATCACTGATTATGCACAACCAGCCCATCAATACTTCGTAGGCTCTTTTGATGGTAGAAAATTCACTAATGACAATTCCAAAGATACAATATTATGGGTGGAGTATGGACCCGACTGCTTTGCCGAGATTATTTATTACGATTTGCCAGATGGTCGATGTATTTCAATGAATTGGATGGGTCGATGGGAATATGCGGAGAATTTGAATTTCAAGAACTGGAACGGACAAATGGGCCTTCCCAGAGAATTGAAATTGATAAAAGTGGGCAATCAATTTCGACTTACGTCACTGCCTGTTCGTGAGATAAATTCATTGAGAATAAATCCAGTTCGCAAGAAGAACATTAATATTATGAATGTGTACCAACATGAAATCGCCGATAGTGGAAAGAAGAGACATCTGGCCGATATTGAAATGACGATGGATCTGAAGAAACTCAAAGCAGGCGACACATTTGATATCGTTTTTTCGGGCAAACGGGATGAATTGAAGATTTCTTTAAAAAACAATGTATTTTATTTGGATCGATCGCGATCGGGAAAAATCGTTTCAAATTACAGGAATCCAAATGTTAAAAAGGGAAATATTGATAATCCAGATATCGAGTTGGCAAAAATGGACCATTCTTTCGGAGGTCTGTGGGAAGCGCCCAGATTAACCAATAGTACCAATTTGAAATTGAGAATAATTATCGACACCAATGGAATTGAAATGTTTGCCGATGATGGACTAACAAGTATGAGCGCTCTTTTCTTCTCCGAAGATGGCATTGCATCAAAGATGACAATTCAAGTTCATTCGGCCACGAAAAAGTCGCTGATTCAATTGAAAGAGCTGAATGTGTATGAAATGAAAAGTATTTGGCACAATGAAGAAGGTATTAAGAAGAAAATTGAACTTTCTGCCCACACCAAAAAGCTAAAATCAAAGAAAGGTGGTAAATAACAAATGAAACTAGAAAATTCAATCAGTTTTCGATAGCAGCAATGTAGAAGTAAATTCAGCTCTTTCAGTATTGTATACTAAAATGTTTGCCTTTTACGAATAAAGAATACTTGAGTATCAAAAACATCACTAATACATTTTTTGTCTTTCTTTATTTTTTAAGCAGCTTTGAAATATAAGTGATTTAATCATTAAAATGTTGGTCATTGAAATTCTTTAAAAATGGTTGCACTTCAAACGATGGTTTCAACATTCTATATCTTGAACAATTGATGGAAGTATACTTTGGTAAACTTTAAAAAACACTGCCTCACTTTCTAAAAGTTTCATTATAATAAAAAAAAGATCACAGCCAATATATCAAGTTCAAAAAGCACTCGAAAATCCAAAAAAAATCTTACTTTTTCAAACTGCGAACTTAAACTTTTATTTATATAGGGGAATGCATGCATAGAAAGGTAATGGACCTACCACTTGTTTCAATTAGTTCAGTTTCAACATTTTATCGCTATCGGTATTGTTTAGATTTAAAGCATTATAACTTATTCTGAATCTACGGTTTAAACTTTTGACAATTTTCAAAATTTCTCCAGTAATTTCAGCTGTTTTGATCTGTTGATTCTTGTTCTGTTGCATCAGCCATTTAAATATTTTTTTTTTGTTTACAACAACGAAATAATACGTGTCTCACACACTTTTGAATAACACACATACAATATTAAATTCGTTTTTATTGGTATAAACCTTTATTCATAGGCTATCGAACAGCACATTCACTTTACACTGAACGGACCATTGTCTTCGATTTTCCGTAGTATGCGTCGAACCATCAAAATTATGTTCTGGACAACCGTTTTGTCGATTTCTTTCAACTTACTCTCAATCCATCCAACCAAGTATTTTGGACCTTCGCCTATAACATACATCCAAAAACAGACGAGAAATAATTAATTTGGTGTCTTTTTGTGAAGTTAAAAAGATGGTCCTTTTTTCATGGAAATGCTATATTTTAAGTAGTGAGCCAATATTGTGGTTTTTTCTGCTTGCAAAGCATAATTTTGTCTTTAATCAGATAGTTCTCAACGAACTCTATCGATTTCAACAATATTTGGTTGATAATACAGCAAGTATTGGTGGTTTTACCTTACGTTACAGCACTTAATGTTCGAATAATGGCTCTAAAACACCTTCCAAAGAAGATCCTACTATACAAAGGACTCTTTATCAAGGTTCGGTTTGTTGACGTCTCTCACCTTATATAGTAGTGTCCTAACATAATTGAATAATATATATATTTAAATTACCTATTTATTTATGTAATTTAAATATATATATTATTCAATAATCAATGTAAAAGAAACCAATTGATTGCTATAGAATAAAAACAGCGTATGAAAAGGTTGCATTTCAAAGCGAAACACCGTCATACAAAATACAGCAAAAAATGTATGTAAAAACAACCTTTGGTGTGCGACCGTATCATACGCTGTATTTATTCTAGAGAATTCAATTGCACTTGATTCGTGGTTCGATTTGGCGATGAATGTTTCATTGTCCAAAATGATGAATTTTTCAATGCAACATGCTATGAGGCGAAGTGAACACCCGATTTTTGACACCCTTTGGAATTTTTTCGTAACTTATTTTGCTGATTGCTATTGATCGTGTCTAAATCTATCATTTTGGTTCAAATTTGAATGTGGTGTAACCATAAGAATCACCAAAAATGAATTGTTGCTTGACCAATCCGGTTTTCGGTACTTGATGACAATTTTGAAAAGTTTGAGCATTTAAATTGGGAATAAGAGCGGACTTTTTGCTTTCTCTTGAATCTTTACATTCATATTAAGTCCGTAAAACACGATACATGGTTCAAAGACAGATTGGTTCATCTTTAGACACATGCAGAACTTGTTTTGAACTTAGCTGTCCAAAACCATTTGAGATACTTTTTCGTAAATCAAATTTGTACGACATTGCGAATGGATGTATTTCGTCGAATTGAGTTTGATAGTAGTCCCGAGGTACTGATAAACGTGCCGTGTGCATTGGTTGAGATTTTGGTATTTGTTTTGCAGTGTAATAAACGCTGTAAGTTGTGCCAATTTGAGAGAGACACGTGTTATCATCCATTTATTATTTATTACGCACCCGAATTCTATTCATATTTTTCACTGTAGAATTCATACACCCTCCAATCCAAAAGTTCCGAGACTTTTTAAAAATAATAGATACCAGTGGCACCACCTACTGGATATTATATGCGTTGGAAAGGTACTTTCCCCACTGACATTATGTCCAAGTTTCATGAGGATCGGATGTCAAGATATTGCGTCTTATTTTTTAGTATCTTTTGCTCTCGGTGACAAAATGAATTTCAAACAAAAAATAATCAACTATTGTGATAAATTTTGAAAGTTTTAACGAATTAGATATTTCAAAAACCATTTTATTATGATTGCTCATGCTTTCTATAAGCTAGAAAAACTAAAACACGAGATCCTATATCGGTACATGCTTCGCATATCGACATCTTTGGGAAAAGTCAAATTTTCAGGATATTCTCATTTCGTGGACCAATTTTCTGTGAATTTTTTTTCAATTTTTTGCTCTGATGAGCCTAATATTAACTGAGGACCTATATATTGAATAATCCATAACGATTATTGCAGATAGTCAGATGTATAGAGTCTCTAGAACATGAAATAGACAGTAAGTTACTTTTTTCACGATATTGCTCTTGCTCATTTTTCAGTCATTTGTCAACAAAAAAACTATAATGTAGATTGCACAATTCTCCATTTTCGCTTGAGATATCTCGTATGGCTATCCTCTTTCCAACGAGTGCATTTGCTGATGAGAACGAGACGGTATAACTATTCTGTATTCAATTTTCGGCCTTGAACCGAGCCTTAAATATACTAAAATATCTGACGCAATAGCTTGGTTGTCAGTGATCCGATCCTCATGAAACTTGGACATAATGTCAGTGGGGCAAGTACCTTTCTAACGCATAAAATATCCAGTAGGTGGCGCCACTGGTATCTATTATTTTAAAAAAGTCTCGGAACTTTTGGATTGGAGGGTGTATATAGCATTTGTATGGAGATAGTTCGAATAAATTCATGACAAATATACGTAGATCTAGAAGTGTAAATACGTTTATATTTACGGCAATATATAATGAAATATTTTTTAATTACACAGTAAGAAAATATCAGCCGACGCTATACGCAAAACCGACTGGTACGTGCGCTCATACGTTTTTACATCTTTTACATCTAGTGACCATACGATTTTTCGACTGATTCGTTACTCTTTGTGCGTATCTTCGCACAGTCGAAAAATCGTATGTTAATAGATGTAAAAGATGTAAAAACGTATGAGCGCACGTACCAGTCGGTTTTGCGTATAGCGTCGGCTGATATTTTCTTTCTGTGTACCATCGGCATACCTTCTCTCTGAAAAGCATTTGTTTAACTTTAAAGAAGAAAATTCATTGAATTCAAAAACATTTGAAAAAATAAAAGAAATTGATCTAATTAGGAAATGTTTTAATGTATGAATCAGCTCAGCCAGATATCGTCAGGAGCTGAAATGGAGTGAGAACAATAAAAGTGGTTGTTATAGTGTAGCAATGTAAGTGTAATTATAGCCATAACAATCACGTCTGGTCCAAATGTAAAATTTGTTTTTTAAATTAGAATAAACGAACTAATCCCAACATGTTTATGCGATACTTACAGAATGGACACGTTCGAAAACATAACATTTTATATTTGTTGAATAGTTGATATTCATAACATATTTAGAGTACGTGCTTATTTACACTGCTAAAATAAGTAAAAAAAATCACTGCAAGTTATCTAAAATTATCCCCTTTAAGATTTTTCAAACCTAAAAAAACGGACACATTTGAATAATTCAAATTGAATTGGTAGCTCAAGTCTACACTCTCCTCATTTATTAGTCAGTAGTAAGCGAAAAACTTGCCTACTTGATTAAGCAAATAAAAGATGCCATGCAAAATTCTATCTACCGATATTACATATTTGACTAACTGTATATTATATTCATATACAATATCGAGTAAAAACATTTGCTATGAATTTAATAGAATTCCAATGATAATAAATAAAAAAAAACGATTTCATTATTTTGGTTAATTAACATCAGTTAATTGGGTGATGCAATAAATTTTGTATAAACTTAATTGGATGATGCAATAAAATTAGTATAAAAGCTCGAATCATTTGTTCCAGACATCAGTGAATTATCCTCTGATAAACTCGTTAGTAAAAGTTAAACAGAAAATTTTCAAACAGAATCAGAAAATTGAAGATTGTAAAATACGAGCAATTTCCACCGAAATGTTTCGAATTGGTAGTTTTGTTGTTGTGGCGTGGATGGTTTCGATTTCCGGTGCGATTTATGACGAAGTTTATCGACCCCAATTGCATTATAGCCCGCCTAAAGGATGGTTAAGCGATCCGAATGGCTTGATTTACGGAAATGGCATTTATCACATGTTCTATCAGTGTCAGCCGGATGATGCAAACAGCATAAGTAAGTTACATTTGCAAAGAACTCCCAAATAAGATTTGGTAACAATTTTAAAAAATGCGTTTCAGATGATGATATCCAAAAACAAATTTTTTATCGTTCCTTTTGAACATCAAAATTTCACCTTTGATAGCTAGTTCATTTATTAGATTGAATTGACATTTACTATAAAGATTTAAGTAAACATTTTACAAGTAATATTTAAAAAAAACTTTTCTTCCAAATCAGGTAATGTACACTGGGGGCATTCAATATCTACTGATCTGATTCATTGGAAAACACTCGATACTGCACTCTACCCCCCGAATAATGGATTCGCCATGTTTTCTGGTGGCGCAATCTTCGATCACAATAATATTACTGGGCTCCAAACTAACCGCAACACACCCGCATTAATATTGATGCCTTCTTTATTTAACCGAAAAAACCATAGACAAAATGTTTGGTTGGCCTACAGCAATGATGCTCCGGAATATACAAAATTTAAATATTATGAGAAAAATCCAATAATTCCTGGACCTCCGGAGACCGAAATAGCAGCATTCAGAGACCAGACTGTTTTTAAATACCAAGATTATTACGTTTCAATTGTAGTAACATATAATCGCACCCAGTTTTATCATTCGCGTAATTTATTAAAATGGGAGCTTGTAAGTGAATTCGGAGAATTCGACGGAGCACATACCGGAAGATGGGAATGTCCATCACTCTTTGAATTTACCGTCCCACTTGGAAATGGGTAAAACAAGGAAATGAATCTTTGTCTGATTTTCGTGTGAATTAACATTTCTTTTTCCTCTTTTTTTTCAGAAAACAAATAAAAAAGCACGTTTTTTTAATCACGATAACTGATTTCGCTCAACCGGCCCATCAATACTTCGTAGGCACTTTCGATGGAAGGAAGTTCATAAATGACAACTCCAAAGATACAGTATTATGGGTGGACCATGGACCCGATTGCTTTGCCGAGATTATTTATTACGATTTGCCAGATGGTCGATGTATTTCAATAAATTGGATGGGTCGATGGGAATATGCGGAGAATTTGAATTTTAAGAACTGGAACGGACAAATGGGCCTTCCCAGAGAATTAAAATTGATAAAAGTGGGCAATCAATTTCGACTTACGTCACTGCCTGTTCGTGAGATAAATTCATTGAGAATAAATCCAGTTCGCAAGAAGAACATTAATATTATGAATGTGTACCAACATGAAATCGCCGATAGTGGAAAGAAGAGACATCTGGCCGATATTGAAATGACGATGGATCTGAAGAAACTCAAAGCAGGCGACACATTTGATATCGTTTTTTCGGGCAAACGGGATGAATTGAAGATTTCCTTAAAAAACAATGTATTTTATTTGGATCGATCGCGATCGGGAAAAATCGTTTCAAATTATGTGAATCCACATTTTTCAAAATTAGGGAAAGGTAATATTGATAATCCAGATGAAGTGTTACCAAAAATGGATCATTCTTTCGGAGGTCTGTGGGAAGCGCCCAGATTAACCAATAGTACCAATTTGAAATTGAGAATTATTATCGACACCAATGGAATTGAAATGTTCGCCGATGATGGACTAACAAGTATGAGCGCCCTTTTCTTCTCCGAAGATGGCATTGCATCAAAGATGACAATTCAAGTTCATTCGGCCACGAAAAAGTCGCTGATTCAATTGAAAGAGCTGAATGTGTATGAAATGAAAAGTATTTGGCACAATGAAGAAGGTATTAAGAAGAAAATTGAACTTTCTGCCCACACCAAAAAGCTAAAATCAAAGAAAGGTGGTAAATAAATTCAATCATCGTTTTCGATAGCAGCAATGCTAAATTTTAGAAAATGTAAATAACTAGTAACAAAAGTAAATTCAGCCCCTGATTGTTTACTAAATTGTTTGCCTTTCGCGAATAAAGAATATATGAATATAGAAAATCTGAATTAAAGTTTCATTTTTTGTAAAGGATTTTTCATCATTTCTTTGTTTAGGTTCGAAAAATATGTGATGCCTTTTATTGGATTTTGTGCCAATTAAAGAGATAATAATTCCAAAGAAAACACCATACAATATTAAAAGACGAAGACGTATAATGAATTTCGAGAGACGAACTATATTCATTAGCAACATTGCTACACCAAACCTGAAAGAATAAAAATACTAGTAATTCATATTTTAGTTATAATGTAAAGAGTTTTAATTCAAAAAAATATTTCATTTTTAATTTTGACTTTTCGAAAGCTTCATCACATATGAGTTTTTTGTTTTTTATTTTTTACTCCCGACAGGGAAGTTATTATCAATATGGACAATATGTTAAATATTGTTATTTTAACACCATGGCTTGAATCCAATGTAGGCAGCACCCAAAACTGATGGATCGGTGGCGAGGTCAATCAAACATTTAACCTGCTGCTCAACTGTTAAATCTTCTTTAGGCAAATTGTGACGATATTTTTGATTGCTTCCTTTCAATAGTTTTATGTACGCTGGAATGACGCCTTTATGCCTGAAAAGATGTATAAAAAATGACACAGAATATTGTGTTTATATTTTTTTATAGCAAATTGCTATAGTGAATAAAAAAACAAAACTAACTGTTTGAGGTTTCCAATTTCCAAATCGTTTTCAATTGGTATTAACGGATTGATGCCGTTAAGTTTCCCTTTGATGGCATTGATAAGATGGTCAGGGTCGCATCCACGAATGTGATTGCTTGAAGATGGATCTCGAATGAAACATTCGAGAGCAGCCATTAGAGATTCACTGTCCATGCGGAATGTGCGTAGTACATGAGCCATTGATTTTACCAGAAATCCGCTGGTCTTCAATGGTTGCATCACATCCACAAATTGTTTAGTTAAACGGAATGGCAGGAGTTCGGGAACGGTTTGACTTCGTGTTGCAATACCGAAAGCCATATCAAAATCAATAGCAATCAATTGTGCGTTGCTCATATCGATGACAAAATTGTCCAAATGACGATCACCAATTCCAAGTATCCAATGTGCAACATTCATGGCCGCAATGCTCTTTGTGAAGTTATTTCGCAATGCATAAAAGCATTCAGGCGATGCGCTCATATTGTATATTACATTTCGCAGCATATTTTGCGGCACATGGCTTTGGAGCTCTTGCATGTTTTTCGACAGCTGTAAAAATGTATAAATATTTTATCATTTATTGAATGTAGGAAAACGCAACGTAATAATTTACCTCAACATGCGAATAATGTAGGACAGCTTGAACATTATTAAATAACTCCTGATCCTTTTCATTTGAGACATTTTTTGGCATATCGATGAATTTCAGATAACGAAGACGAATATCATAGTCTATCTTTTTCCACGATGGATAGGTACTTGTCAGAAGCGAACTAATCGTATCGGTGTTTTCGAGCCAACTTATAATGCCACAATGTGTGTTCAATGGTATAACTTTGTATGTTTGCAGTGACAGTTTTTGTTGGCTACAATTCTTGTCCGTTTTCATTTGATCCGACATCAATTCTTGAATATGTTGAATGCGTTCGTCTTGTCGTACATCTTCGCCATATTTCACGATCAAATTATACGTCTTACCTAAGGGAAGAATAACAAAAGAAAAGAATAAAATTTAAAATAATCGATAAGTAATCGGAAAATAATCGTAAAACAATCAATAATAATTAATAAGTAATTTTTAAGTGATTTTCCCCTTAGTCTTACCATCAGAACAAACGGCACTCATTTTAATTGGACACCGTAAAGATGAAAAAACCTGTACTCTTTCGTTAAATTTCACAATTTTCAAAATGTTGTTTGGATTTGGTGGCGCATTTCCTGTATATTGACCAGGCAATTCGATAAAATCATTGCCACCGTACCAATGATACTCTTTCAACCATTCACTGAAGCAACTGAGCTCGTACTGTGGTTGACGATTTTTAATAGACGATATCACTTTTATCAATGCATTTACACCTTCAACAACTTGGTTGTCTAATTATTGTAAAGCATAATAAAATAAACAATAGATTAATTAGTGATCAATTGTTTTATTATGTTAACTGAAAATTTGGTCAAATTAATTCTCTTATCGGAGTAAAATAAAGGGTATTTATAAAATGCTCAGTTTAAACTTACGTTTCATAATCATGAGTGCTTCAAAATCTTTCTTAATGGTCGGGGATATATTAGCCGTCGATAAATTTCGTGTACCTCCATAGACATTATCGTAGCATATTTGGAGTTCTTTCTTCACGGCTTGTTCATCTTTTAGTTTTAAAATCTTATTCAAATGATAATACAGCACTTTTTCGGCAAGACTCACGTAGTTTATTTGCTCAATAAACTTTTCGATGATTGGATTCCGGATGGCCGCTTGAATTTGACGAACAATCGACCGAATTCTGGCATTCGGTTTTCGTTCACGAAATCTTTGATATATTAAATTGAATGAATAGATTACTGATGTCGGGTAAGTTTTGGCCAATTCAACAAGTAACTGGTCCAAGAAACATGGTTTCTCAAAATCAAAGTTGGTTATAATCTGGGTCATCCATTTCAAAAAGTTCCATACGGGCACATGCTTCACCTATAGAAAAAAAGAAACATTTTTTGATATAAATCGTCAAATTTAGGCTCAAAAAATGCCATGTTACCTCTTGATTGAAAAGGTCCGTTAACTCTCTGGAGTTGATTTTTTTCAGCTGAAGCAAACGTGGAAATTGAAGACGTGCATTTTTCGAATTGTGTCGCATTCCACGTAAAATTGATTTTATCAATAGTTTTTGCACCTCCAGTTGACTTTCTTCAGATCCAGCGTTTGTTTGTTTCCAACTGAATACAGCAAGTCGATAATATGATTCTCCAATATCGTTTTCTTTCATTGCAGTTTGTGTGGTTTGTAACATTTGCAATTGGTTCGCTTCGTATTTTTCAGCGAATGAAATTGTTTCGTTGCAACATCGACGTGCAAATGTGCCTACCGATTCGGATATGTTTTGCGCTAAAATGAAATAAATGTAGACACAATCAAGTAAATATCATTGACATGGGTCACGAAATCATTCTCTAAAATATACTTACAACGGTCCGATGATTCGGTTAATTCTGCTATCAATTTTTTAACTGGTTCACTTACTGCACCGCCTTCCGATATCAATTTACTTGCATTTCCCGTAATTTCATTGAATTGATCGAGTAATTTAATGCGAATGTCTGGATTTGCATCGAGTGTGTCTCGTTGAAAATCGTATAAATTTCGTAAATTTTTCCATATTTTAACTAAATTCTCGAGTCCTCCATTCAAATTGAATCCATTTAGATTCATCCATTCAAGGTGCTGGTGCCGTACTTTGGCCAATTCATTTTGAACTATACTTTTGCCCGTATTTTGTTCATATTTTTTCGAAAATGTGTCTAAACGACACAATACGGTGTTCGACAATTCGGTATTTTGTTGTTGCATGGCGATTTCATTCAATTTAAATTGCATATCGAACATGCTGTCTGTTAGCCGGCTAACAATTGGTGCTGTCTTTGGTTGGAATTTTTCCAATGCCTGTTCGGTTACAAATATCCGATACGAAATCAATGCATCCCATAATTGTGATGAATCGGCTTTGTTCATTTGTGTTTGTTCCCAGCGATCATTCAATGCGGCAATTACACTATCATCAATGGCACCATCATCAACTGTTTTATGTAAAAGATCTGCATACTTATGAATTTCGGCCACAAGACGCATATTCATCAATTTATTGTTACGCATTTTTTCCGATAAAACACTCGTTGCGCTCCATTCGCTTAGAAAACTCTCAAAGTATTGGTTTGAAAACACCTTTGCCTCCAAATAGTCCTTATTGGCCATGTGTAGCATCATAAGTTGTTCGCCAAAGTGCTTTTTTATATGTTCAGCACGTGTTGGATTATGCAACCAACCTCCAATATTGGACAGAAATTCTCGAACTGTTTGTGTTTGTGAGCCATTGTAGATTAATGTTCGTACTTCCGAACGAATATAGTATTGTAAAAGATAATTCATATTCCAATCATCGGTCCAAAGTTCCTCGTATTCAGTTTGAGAATTTGACTCGTTTTTCAATTGACAATTCACTTTATCCTCAAGATCCTCCCATCGTCCCATTTCTTCGTAGCAATTGAACAACGATTGATATGAAAAATTCTGAGCCAATTTTTCCCATGAATCGTCGGCCAGATCATCGGGTAGTGCTTCAATTGATTGAATGTACGTATGCAGAGCACTATTGTAGTCACCGTTCGATTCAAATTCAATGGCCTTCGTTTGTAATTGATCGGATTGAATTTTATCGCAAAAAATGCTCGACGCTACATCAAATTCGGATAAATTGTAATACATATTTGCCATTTCTGCCCACAATTTATTTATTACATCTTCATAACCATCTGATTTTGTGTCATGTGTTGTCATCAAACTATTTTCAAGCAATAGAATTGCATTGATCATCATATTATTGGCATTTGGTATGGCTGTCGCAAGACCTGGTTCAATTTTTAATTCAGCTTGATTTGTCATTGCGATTTCAGTAAGTGCACTGAACAGCATTGGATCGCATTGATTTGATTGTCGTATCAAGTTTTCAATGCAATAGGTAAGTTCTGTTGAAAAGTCTCGCTGAATCTCTTCGTTCAGTTCATTGTAAACAGCATTTAAAATCGTAACAAATGTATTTCGTGCTAAAATCACATCAAGCTTCACTAAAACTTGTAGTGGCAACAAAAATGCCAAACTATTTATTGCAAAATCGGGATATGTGCCAAAACGATAGCGACGATACAATGTGACTTGACCTTCTTTGCGTTTTTGTTGTTGATTTACTTCACGTTCTTTGTAGTCGCGTCGCCGTACCGCACTCAATGCTCTTTCTCGACTCACAACATCTTTATTCCGTAAAATTCGTTCGCGTAAATAGCTGAATTTATTACGTTTGCGATTGGCAATTTCTTCTTCTGTCTTTGGTCCGAATGGTTGTACTTTACTTTGTACTTGTTGTGATTGGCGATCAAGCGTCAATGACGAATCGCCAAAAAGTAACGAATTTTGCGATTGCAATGAAAATGAATCGCTGCCTCGATACAATGTCGATGGATCCAATGTTGGTTCAAAATTTAGCGAGTGTGGTTTCTTTTGTAAGTAACTGAGTGTTGGATCAAATTCACCGCTGCTTGAGCTCAGTTGCTTTTGCTGTGACTCAGTGAACAATGGTACCCGAAGTGTACTGTCTTGTGACTTCCAATGAACATTTATATCGTATTCATCGTAATCACATTTCTTGGCAAGTGTTGGAAAAACCTCTTTTTTTAAATCGGCCGCATTTAAATGGATCAATAGTTGAACACCATATTGTAAAAAATCATAAAAGTACAAATGTTGAAGCATAAAAAGAACACGATCATTTAAAGAGGTCGGCATTTCAGGTAATTCATCCCAATATTTGAATACTGTAATTTGAAGATTTTTATCCACATCATTCAATCCTTTCAATAGAATTTCCGTCGCTTTCTGTTTCAATTCGAGATTTTCGCTTAAATTTCCGCGAACATATTTCATTATTTCGTACACAACATCACGAATTTCGCTTTGTTTGGCATCATGGAATAAAGCGATTCGAGGAAACATGTTTTGAATTCGGATTGCGGTCAATTTTGGTAGTGCTTTGTTGAAAATATGCAGTCCAAGGAGTTGATGTTGATATTCTTGCGAGTGATTTAGATCGGAGAGAAACACTTGAATATCACAAGGTTCAGCTCCATTGACTCGATTCAGGAACATTTGCAAGAAATATTTCTTCATATCCGATGTACATTTTGACATTAAATTGGTGATTGTTGTGATAAGTCCACTGTTATGAATCACATAGCGTTTATCGATGTGGTACAGAACGTACATGAATTTTTTTTCATTCTTGAATTTCCAATCATTCAAACGTTGCTCAACAGCCCTTATGACTTCTTCCATATCTTTACTAATGCTTCTGTTGTTTTGTTTGACTATGATTTGATTTAATACCATGCCCAAAAGTTCGGCGGCCGGTTGATAAACCTCCGAATGGTTATTGTTCAAACAATAAATGATCGCTATAATAAAACGTTTTCTTGACTCGTCGGTTGTCCATGGTATCAGGTTGTTGGCAATTACGAAACCATTTAGATGAAGACCACAGGCATTCACTTTGGACTCGATATTTTTATCTGTAATCGTCTCATACAGAATTTCATGTGGTACCTCAATAAATTCACGCCATCGTTCCATCAAATTGCGAATGAGTTCCAGATTACGGCGAAGCACATCACGTTGTTGACTATTTGCAAATGCCATTAGATTGGCCATCAATTTCGTTGCAAGATTTTGCATATCGTTTTTATTCTTTTCGTTAATTGGATTTGTAATTTCGGACCATTCAAGCACATCGACCAATAAAAATACGGTTAAGGCATCAATAGATCCTTTTAATGTTGTCCAATCAATCAAAAATTTCAGAATGGCTGGCGTCATATAATCGGCACATCGATTGAATCTTTTTGAGCAATTGTCGATGGCTGTTACCAAAAAGATCCGAATATTCATATGAACGTCGCTGTTTGCAATGACTTTATTTATATTTTGAAACCAATCCGTCGATGAAACTGATGCTATATCATTTTCAAATATATGATCGATAACACCGCACACCACGGCCATGATTTCATGATCATTGACCGAATTTCGTTCCAACATCAATGTTTTCGGTTGATAGTTTGCGGCATTCACTTGACGTTCGACTTCATCAGCGGTTCGCAAATACGATGTACTTAAATCAATTTTCGTCACATCCTGACTCAGTGACGATTCAAACACATTTTGTGTTTCGATATACTTTCGATTTGGCACTGTATCATTTTCCTTTAGTCGCCGAATCGATACCATTCGCTCTTTGATCTGTGGCCGCTTATCAACTTCTAATGTTTGACTTGTATAAAGATCGGGATCGGTGGTATTGATCATATAACGCCAATTATTTTCATTGAAACAAAAGTTTGCGTAAAAATTAATATTCGTTTGTGTATTACTTATGAGAGAGCAGAGTGCTTTATAAGCGGCACATTGATATTTACGAAACCATTCCATGTGTTGTGCGTTTGTGGTCTGAAATGTTTCTTTCTTTGCGCTGTCTGCTTTGTTTGTCATCCATGCCAATAGTTCATTGCCCTTTTTAATATTGTTACCTGTGGGAATAATAAAAAACCATCAACGATACTCGATTTTGTTATTGCATATTTTGAACTTACCATATTTTGCTCTTAAAACTGGAAAATTTTTATCGCAAATTTCATGTCGTACAAAAATCATAATTATAATTTCGATCAGTTTAAAGACACCGATGCGTGAAGTAAAGGCCTGTTCCAGTTTGTAATCAGACATATTCAGTGTGTATTGAGTTTCCAATAACAGTTCAATCTTTTGAATATTTTCGGCATAAAATTGTGCAACAATATCTTTGGTTGAGCTCAATATCATATGCGATAAAAATCGTTCCATCAATACCGTTCGGATGGCAGCATCGAAATTCAAACCGCAAAACATCTCAAAGACTTTGTTTAAGCAATACAATTGATGATTTGGTTTTAGGGAGCTCATGAATTTTCGTGTGCTCTGTACAATTTGACGGTCCATAATATGGTCAGCGTCTGGTGCACTGCAATTGATGATAAACTTCAACACAACGAATGACTGTGATGTGCACATTGTATCAAGAATGACTTGAAATGTATTTTCAAATGTATTCCAATTAACGCTTCCTGGCCGCAATTCAGATGTATACAATGGAAAGTAATTCTCTTGAATTTTTTCCAGAGCATTTTGAATTTCTTGATGATCATTCGTTGCCGGTCCAATTACACATGGCAATAAAAATATCGCCTGACATTTGGTATCAATGGTGTCCACGTCATTGTTTATTATGCTCAGCAACCAATTATCAAAATGTGCAGCTTTCTCCGATATGTACGTCAATTCATATGGGCAAATCATTGCGATATGCTCCATCAAATCGATTAATTTCGTTTTGTTTTCCACATGACCATCGGTTCTGGCCAGTATGTCGTGCCAATTTCCGAGCAAAATATTCGTTAGCAATTTCATTTGTGGAATATTTTCTTGTCCGGCTTTATACGCATATTCGATGAGCTCCGACAATATTTGCAACACATACGACACATTTGGCGGCAACATTTTCACTATCAAACGTTCAATAATGTTATCGACACTTTTCAATAAATACTTGTAAATTGTCGATTTGTACAAGTTCAAAAAATGTTTTCCTTGTTTAATGGTCTTTTGTGAATCGTATATCGTGAGTTCGGTTGTGTTCAGCAATAAATCGATGAGATTCACAAAAATTTGATTTTTGTGAAACGATACTTGAAGCAAATATTTTGTAAATTTCAACGTATCGGGTGACAGTGATTTGGCAATTAAATCATCACCTTGACATTCTTTGATTTCAGCAAACATTTTATAGAGTACGTCAGTGGCCAACACATCGATATTTGTATTTAAACTATGGCTGGTGGAAATGTCCTTCGTTTTAATGAGACTGTAAATCAAATCGACACCTTTCAAATTGTTCGTTTCGGTTATTGAAATTGAGCTACGATTTAGTATATTGCCAATGGAATTGGTTAAATTTGTGAAAATTTCGGTTGTGCTTCGCACCAATTTATCGTTTAATTCTGTTTTGAATGGTTCCACCGCTGATCGATTGACATTTATGATAAATGTTCGCAAAACTTTCGGTAGTTCTGCCAGGAATTCGGGATTTTTTGAATCGCATTCAAGACATTGTGGACGAAATATAGATGTTTCAATCATCCAAATTAATTCGTTGCGCTGCCAAATTCCATCGGGCACACAATCGATTGCAATAGTCTTGTTCAAAAATTGTAGCATCAACAATAAAATGGCACTCTTTTCCATATTGATTTTCTCCATTTCGGCAATGGTTCCGGCGTCCATATGATGATCATCAGCAAATTGATTTTTATTCAAAATATTATTGATATAGTGTTCAAGTACACGGAAAATGTTGCTTTTTCCAAATATTTCTTTCCAATGATTCGGCATAAAGTCATTCTGAATGAACCAGATATAACAATCGAGTGACGTTCGCAGTTTCTTCAGCCATGTATACATTGCGATGACTCGACGATTGTCGAAATATTCAATATCAATTTTATTATCGCACAATTCAATCACCGATTCAAGATCATATGTACTTCGAATGAACATAGCGGCTGAATTATAGGTGTCAACACACGGCGCGAGAACGATAAACATTGCCATGACTTTCTTTCGATACATATTTTGTGTGCTATTTGTTTGACCAAGAAGCCAAAGTACAGCATGCAATAACAATGAACCTGTGTACGCTGGGGTTGTGATCCGATTTGGATTTGGTTCATTGAAAATTTGATTTTGTTCACGAAGAACGCGTTCGACATGATCCAAACTGGCCGACACTTGATCCAAATCCGATGGACAATTCAAATTTTCTTCCATCTGTTGTTCGCTTAATTTGAAATTGATGCAGAAATCATGAAGAAAATCCAACCAATATTTATCCGTCGTATGGTATGCTTTTCTCAATTCGCGATAGATATTATTGAACGCTAGTGCAGCACCAAATCGCTTTTGATGCAATGCATCCGAGTTGAACATTTTCAATTGTTTTATCAGCGCATCGATCTGGAACGGTGACGCATTAGACTGTTCGGCACTCTCTCTCTGATTATAGGTCCATATCAAAAATTCCCGTAACGATCTTGATGCCAAATCACGAACCGACAAATTGGTTGGATGCGATATTGCGTCCATGAGACATTTCAGTAGAATTCTATTTCCCTCCATTTGTTGTTGGTCCGGTCGTGACATATAGTGCATGGTTTGATTGACCAGAGGTTCAAATATCTGTCGTATTCCGATGTCACCATCACAGCCCAATTCTAGCATTAGCTTGCACAGTTCAGACCATAGTTTACCTCTGTGATTGTTTGAACCAATCAGATAGAGAATTGTTGCTTGGATAATTTCACAAGCGGTCATCTTCTTCTGTCGATCGGTGGTCGATGTCGCAATTTCACAAATACGCGGAATCAATGTATCCATGTAGATTTGCGTATTGAATGAATCCCGACCATACAGTGTCAAACATACAATTTTGCTGGTATTCCATTTGACTAAATTGGCATTTTCATGCTGTATCACATGTTGACAGTACTCCGGTTCAAGTGTGCCCAAAAATAGAATGATTCTCTTTTGGAATTTCAGCAAATCGTTCTCTTTAACTTTAATCAGTTTTTGTGCGGTTCGTTTTGTGCCTTGGACACGTTTTCGTGCCACTTCAACACTTTGCACCAGATCATTTTTGAAACCCTGCAAATACGCATCGAAGTATGGCAATACAGCGCATAGAAATTCCTTGGCGTCGCTCGTTGTTCGATCAACGGTGCCCAAATATCGTTCTATTGTACTCAATGCCATGCCGGCTATGAACAGGGTTGCGTTTGATTTTCCAATGTGAAAGGCAATTTGGAATGCCGGTATCATGTCGTGAATTAATCGGCGCAGCATAGAAGCTGGCGATGTGAACAGTAATTTTAAACACGCAATTTGAAGTTCACCGTAACTTTGTTGCGATTTTTTTATTGTTTTAGTCAAATAATAATAGACATCGTTGTAGTTTATTTGGCTGTCTTCGTACAATTCGTTGCCAAAGTAATCCAAACGATTTGATATACTTAGAATGAGTTGCATCAACCGTTCAAAACCGCTGACCAATGGATGCTTCAATGATTTCGATATAACTTCTTCGGTGAATTGATTGATCCATTTCAGAAAGTTCGTTTTGTGACTGTCGATACTTTGCGCTTTTAGAACGTCGTGATAAAACCCAACCAAATTGAAGAAAATGTGAAAATCTTTCACGAATACGGGTTGCAAGTCATAGTTCGGATCGCTGAAGAACAACTCATTCCCCTGATCGTCGCAACATTTTCGTTTCTCCACTTTCAAATTCAATTTATTCTAGATTGCAAGGACAAAACAGAAAGGTAAAAAAATGAGCATTTTTATTTAACATAGGTGTTTATGCATGAAAATATTTACCAAAATTTTGAACAACGAATTCATCATGTGATCGTATATTTTGCCAACGATCGCTGTTCTATTGTACGACGATGATTCAATTTCGGCCAGGAATCCATTCCATAGCGGTAAATAAGAGACGAATGTTACTTGGTCTGTCCAATTGGTATCCGCATCCCAGTCGTACCTTGCATCGATTGGCAATTTGTGTGAACATGTCCAAATGATTCCTTGGTAAATAACCTTTTCGATGACGTCATCGACGATCGAATCGCCAAGCAATGACAAATTGTGAAATGTGCGCATTAGAGTGTTTATGGTCATGTCATGATGTGCAGTCGACAGCAGATGAAAATTCTTAATCACCGCCACAACTATGCTTTGAAGAACATTCAATTGTGTCCCAGACAAATGATCCACCTATGGAATGAAAACGGTTCACTTATACCAATATATTATACCAAAAAATAAATAAATCATTTCAATATCTCACCTGTTCCATAATTAACGACAGCGCTTCAACATAGTCTGGAAAATGTTCGAGCTGTTCCTTTCTATGGTGATTGACAGCGTTTGCAGCGCTTTCTGTGCGCTGCATTACCAATCGAAGCAATTCGTTCAGATGTTCACGTGAGAGTAGTTTCTTGCATGGTGCAGCGATCAAACCAAAACCAACAATCGCTAAACGAACTTCGAATGGTTGACTCTGTGACGATTCCAGTCTCGATTTGAAGTATGATTGTAAAAAATCAAAAATTTGACAACATCGTTCGGAATCATCAATTTCCAATAAACAAATGGCGATTTCACGATGTAACGCGTGCAATAACAAAATGGCTGGTCGACGACTATCGAATGAATCCATTTTGAGCCATACATTCACCAGTAAATCATGCCAATAGTAAAAATCATCAAACACCTCCTTTCGAAATACTTCACAACGTTTTGCTAATAGTGTCAGTGCACTGCAAAATACACCTTTTTGCTTTGCGTCTAACGGGTTGGAGAATTGTTTGATGCATTTGTAAAGACGTGTGGAAAAATGTTCTTTGTGATCATCGGACGGTCCAAAATGTTCCATGAAATCATTCAAACCATTGAAGGCACCAGTGAGCTGTATCAAAGTTGTCTGTGAAATAAATTTAATTACATTCCTTTTAGATAACTCTTCAGAAACCGAAAGAATAAGAACATTTCCAACTTTTTTTCTATTTATAACAGTACGTAGGTTGCTCCATAATTTTTTTTAAAATGGTACTTATAGTGTTGCCCGATGTAAACCATTGTCATATTCGTAAAGTTTGATGTTTTGGTATGTATTCGTGCCCTGAACCTTTTGTCGTACGAACGCTATTTGTATTGTTTACAGTGACTGGTAAACTGCGACTCAACAAAAAAATGAATTTTACACGTGAAGATTTTCGTAAAATGATTTACTACGATTTTCGAAGTAAATTATCTCAACAACAGTGTTTCGATCGACTTCATTTGGCCTTTGGCAATGAAGCACCAACCCTTCAGACAATTTATAACTGGTACCGAGAATTCCGTTGCGGTCGTAGTTCGCTCAAAGACGAGTTTCATACAGGTCGTCCAAAATCGGCTGTTGTGCCACAAAACATCGATGCTGTCAGAAAACTGATTATGGAAGATCGTCATGTGACCTACCGTGAGATTGAGGCATCTTTGGGCATTTCATCCCACAGCATACATACAATTTTGCATGAACATTTAGCCGTAAAAAAGATTTGCTCTCGTTGGATCCCACATAAATTGACCGATGAACAAAAAATGGCTCGTGTGAGTTGGTGTAAAGAAATGCTCAAGAAATTCAATCGTGGTGCTTCAAAAGACGTTAATAAAATCGTCACTGGTGACGAATCGTGGATATATGCCTATGAGCCCGAAACGAAACAGCAGTCTGACTGTATGGGTCTTCCAAAATGAAGATAACCCAACGAAAGTTGTTCGAGCAAGAAGCACTTCGAAGCGAATGGTCGCCTGTTTTTTCGGGAGAAGTGGTCATGTGGCAACCGTTCCACTAGAGGATCGTAAGACCGTCAATTCTGATTGGTATACCACCATTTGTTTGCCCGAAGTGTTTGGTGAAATAAGAAAAAACAACCACCGTCGCAAAATAATTCTTCATCACGATAATGCGAGCTCTCACACATCTTTTCAAACTACTCGATTTTTGACCGGTCAAAACATCGAACTGATGGGTCATCCACCGTACAGTCCTGACCTGGCACCCAATGACTTTTTTTTGTTCCCAAGCGTGAAGAAAAAACTACGTGGTCAACGATTTTCGACACCAGAAGAAGCAGTTGAAGCGTTCAAAACACACGTTTTGGAGATATCAGTTTCGGAGTGGCACGAATGCTATGACAAATGGTTTCATCGAATGCAAAAGTGTATCGATCATCTCGGGGAATATTTTGAAAAACAATAAAACCATTTTCGACAAAAAACAACTGTGTTATATATGTTTTTAAAAAAAATTATGGAGCAACCCTCGTACGAATCGACTTGTCATTTTGCTCAAAACCACTTTCTTACAAATAAGAGCGGTTTTTTTTGGCACCGGATAAGGTAATATAGCTTATAACCTACACTTTTTTTAAGAAAACTTACATTTTGTTTGTTGACAACAACATTTTCCAATGCCTTAAAAAAAATATCACGAATTTTCATGCCGTCCTCAACCACATTTTCAATACAATCTGGATAATCTTTGGCCAAACAACCGATCAAACCAAAAATACGTGATTGAACTGCGAAAAAACAATGACATTCATTCTGTGGATGCATGTTTTATGAAGAAGATGATTACTATTTACCCGTTCCCGAATTTTTTGATATCTCAACAACTCTCAACAGTTCGTTCATCAAAAAGGTTCGATCCACCGACGAACAGCATTTTTCCGAAATCAGAGTTTCAATCACAGAGCCCGCTCGTTCTTTTTCCTTGGCCGATGTTATCATCGACCGAATATACTCTAAACAAATCTGTTTGAAATCGTAAAATAGCATTCTGTTAATAAACCTCAACTTTTCCGGCAAAAATCAACTTACAATTACAACAATATCTGCGCAGTTGTCCACTTTTTGTGGGTAAAGTTTAATAATCTTGATAAATAAATCAAATGATTTGATCGTTGACTCGTGAAATGGTTTGTCTTTCTGCGACATGTTCTTTAAGCAAAGTTTCATGAATCCTAAAACGCCACCATCTTCGCTAAAAACCTTTGCAACCGCCAAATCTGTATTAAATATAAAATCATAAGTCACACTGAATTTCACAATTTTATGAAATCATGCCAAATTGATTTGACATAGATTACGGTACTTATGTTCATAATTCAGCACACAAATAATTTACCAATTTCATTTTCGGAAATCCTATCATCGAAATATCGGTCAATAGAATCAAGAAGCGTGCACGCCTTTTTGTTGTCTTTGCTGCCAATTATCGACTTTAATTGCTCGCACATTATAATTACGTCACTCGACATCTTTATGGATTTTCACATAGATCCTATTCCATTTACATCAATTGTTCGTCTTAAAACCGTAATTTTTTTTGAAATTCTAGTTACAACTCTAATTGAAACTCTAGTTAAATAGCAAATAACAAATAGTTTTATATCTATTTTGCGATATATTGTGAAATACTTCTAATCAAAATTGTGCTTATTTTGCCGGTTTACTGTGATTGTTTACAAAACACGCAGTTTCGCAGTTGCTTAAATGTTTATGCATACCAATATGACAGATACAGAACTGTCATTCAATTTTGAAAGTTTCTGATGTAAAAAAGTTAAATGCAATTTTGATTAGTGAGTATTTGACCAAACGCATTCATTTGAAAACTAGTTTTTAATTAATTTATTTAAAATTACAGAGTATTTTTGCAATTTTTACAATATCTTTGGAAAAACATTGGAAAATCAACCAAAAAATGTTCGAAAATGCAACATATCTGTAGAATAGTTTACTGTTCAACTCTATCGATTAGAAGATGGCGCCCCTATTGAATTGGAGTTGAACTAGTATATAGTTTCTTTTCGAAAACCAATCGGATGATTGAAGGTTCGGTGGAGACGCATATTTGAATTTATAAAGAAAATATGTTCCACAATTACAACGATGAATTAACGGAATTTAATTTTTTTTTTTGATTATTTATTATTTGAAGTATTTTTTTCTAAATAAATTCATACACCTCTCTAAATTTGTCTCACTTTTCATCAAATAATTAAAATTAGTTTCTCATTAGAAACAAAAAAATAATCGTATCATTTTATTAAAAAGTATTTTATTCAAATATTCAGATGATGAGCAAACGAATGTAAGTGCCGAACATTAAATGCTGCCAAATGTCAATTGAAGGAAATAAAAAAAAAACATTTGTTAATAGAATAATCAATATGTGAAACAAGAGAAACATGAAACGAAATCATGCATATGTGTATACATTCGTTTTAAAAGAATAATTCGGGCATCGACACTGTGCAGTCGATACAGGCGCCAAAGTCTGACAATAAACTGGAGGCAGAGCGGAAGAACATTCGACAAAACCACTTCAGAGCATATTCACATTTTCTTATTGAACCGACAGCAAATAGCATGAACGATGTTTGATTTTTCGTTTTTATTTAAATCCACATACAGTTGGCAAACATATTGGATGAGCGTCTGCAAAATTACTCGAAACATGAGTAACATGTGTTAAGAAGCAGCACAAGTGAACACCTCGTCCAAATTTGTTGTTACTAATAATAATCTTCCAATTGGCAATTACATGGATAAATATGCGGTGTTTTGTTTTTACTGCATTTTCTTCCGTTTCTCTATGATAAACACTCAAGAGAGTTTCCCATTGAAAACTAATTTGTTCACATGTGCATATGCGCTATAAGTGGATCTTCCAATAACGCACTTTAACAACACTAATGGAAATGACAAGTTATTGTTTTGGTTTTAAAACGAATCAATTGAATTGGTAAAAAGACTAAATTTTCTATTCAATAACACTTTCGTATTACTTACTAAATAGACAAAATCAAAAAATGTAAAGTTGCTGAAATACGATGCAAATACGATATACTTAAAAATTATTATATTTTAGCATAAACTAATGGAATAAATTGACGTGAGTCAAAATATTTGTTTTTTTTTTTTTTCAAAATTATGTTATTGGCTTAATTTTAAAATGATAATATTCGTTCAATTTTTTGTTTGGAAATGTGTAAAATGTATGAACAAGAGTACCTTCTTAGTACCAACTTTATTGTCACTCAGTCAAGACATGAGGAGGTGCAATTAAACCATATAACAATAAAAAAAATGCGTCAACATTTTTGGCTAAAACGGAACTGTGAAGTAGATGAAGAAACATATTTTTCGTTAATGTGTTTGAACAAGGTCAATTTCAAACTCATGCTATAAGCACTAATATTCTGGTCACTAACACAAGACCCATTTCACATGCTTTCTTTAGTTCGTTGTCGATAATTTTATGATTTTGGTCAGGAGAAAAGAGGCGGGAGAAAGAGAAAGATAAAGAAAATTGTGAATGAAAACCATAAAACGAATATTGTTTCGCGGAATTCACCATCAAAGGATCTATGTGATATGCCATCGTTATTATGATTTAATTTCTTATGCAATACGATCTGAACACAGTCCATAAAATTCATGCGAATTAATGATTTTACTGAAAATTAAATTGAGAAAATAATGAGTGCAAAATTTCAACAAGCACCAAGAAATTCCAACAGAAGTATTCTACAGATAAAAAAATGTGTCCAAATATTTTCGCTTCTTTTGTCTTTGATGATTTTTCAAAAAATGTTATTTATTGTGGTGTGTGTTGCTTTACCCTGTTTTCGGTTGCTTTCAAAGCACTTTCGTCAGACCTGAATGCCAACTGCGCAGTCGAAAAGGAAGTCGACACCAAAAGGCCCAGTTGAAAACAATATTTATGAGCGAATCGTTGTCACCATCTCTATAGTCATCGAGATTTAGACATCTTACGTGATGTCATAGAGCGTTATTTTGTACTCAGCCGGACTGAGTCCAGCATTTAAAGTGAAAATCCATGTGGAAACAAAACAAAAGAACCTTAAATAATTTGTAAATAGCAATTTGTGACGGTAACCCAGTTGAAATTGTACAAAATATTCTAGAATATCGAATACAAGTAGTACATGCATTGCATGCGATTCAAAATGTTTTGTTTGTTTGTTTTTTTTTCGGTACAGTGAACTCTTTGCAGATATGAAGCGTATCTTTTGCAGTATTCTTTCAAATTTGTGAAAATATTTACGTTTAACACTTGAAATCAATTTTTTTTTCACATGAATTATCTTCATGCACATCTCAGTAGTTCATGTTGATTTGTACAGCATGTGTAAATTTGATGGAAAACACAAATGTGCAGTTCTGTCTAACCAACACCACCAGAGTTAGATGCATATGTAGTACTATAGTTTATATAAATAAATCAAAAGACGAAACAAACAATTTTTGTTTTTGAATATAAGTTTTGCTTTAATTTTCTTTTACTAAAATACAACTTCCTAATCATTTGTTTAACAATATTAAGGAATTTTTATATACATTATTTACATTATCTTATAATATAAAGTTAGAAGGGCTATTATTCATACGGTTTGAATAATTGTGCAACATCTTTTCTGACATCAAACGATGTCATCAATGATTCTGGTGATGAATTCGATTGACGGAGAATACTGTTCACTGGGTTTCGATGTGGCATTGGATATGGTGAATATCGGTAACCGCAAGTGTACGCTGATTGCATTTGAGGAATTAATGGGTTCGCTGCATAATATGGCATGTTGACTGAGTGCACTGCTGCAGCCGCTTGAAGTAATGACGCAGCAAAATTTGGATCTGCATAGACGGCTGCATAGGGCCATGTTACAGCGATTCTTTCTCGTTTATCCTTCATACGTCGATTTTGGAACCAAACCTATTAAAATAAAAATAAAAACATTTATTAGTAAAATTCAAAAAGAAAAAAAAGAGTCGAAAATGTCTTTTTTGGACGTCTACTTTAATGTTTACTGTTAAATGAGAATTTGTTTGCAATTTTTCACAGTCACAATATTCAATAATTAACAGAAAATGTAATTATTATTATTTCTTATACATCTGTTGTTTTGCACAAACTCTTCTGATTCGCACACAAAAAAAAATAAAATAAAAAAAAAACAATCACCTTTATGGTTGACTCCGATAATCCTAGCTGAACAGCAAGTTCGCAGCGACGGGGTCGCGAAACATAAATTTCTTTACTGAATTCTTTTTCCAATCGTGACAGTTGATCACGAGTGAAAGCGGTACGATAACGGCGTCCCGATTGATCATTATGCTCGTTTTCCATGTTGGCAACCATTTTTTTTTATTTTAAGTTTTTTTTCACTTTATTTCACTTCTTTTTGTAAATTTTTGCAGGAAAAACTGTAATCCTTTTCGAATGCGTCTAAAAATACGAAGATACAAGCACAAACGCTCCAAGCACAAAACCAACTACAACTGCTGTACTTCAGTCCATTGCTATCGACTTATATAGGTTGTTGCCGATTGCAGGCGTGAACATTCGATATTTTTCTATTCAAAGAGGGAACGAAAACATATCATAGCCATATGAAACTAATACACTCTTACTGTTACTCTTCTGAATATCCCAACTCTATTCGCTTACCTCACTCATAAGTCAATCTGAATATATTTTGATATGATCAACATATTTATTAGCATTATACATTTAGATTGAAATCTAAAAGAATGATATTCAAATCAAACTGGAAAAAGAAATGCAAAATGTAACACTATACTCATTATAAACTATGAGCACTTCTCACGTGTACAATTTATTTTATGTATGTGTGCGTTTCGTTTCAACAATGTATTGGTTTGCTCATGAAGTGGGCGGTAACAAATGGTGCGCAAGAATCGGATTATGGATTTGTTCATAGATTGTGTTTACAAGTCAGTATTAGAATCGAGAGAGAAAGACAGAAACCGGATTCTTGTCTTCTTCCCACTAAGGAAGCGTTTACGTTTGAAATGATATCTCCTTATTTTCATATCTCTCAGGCACATTGCATATTGCACACTGATATAGTAGGTGTATTTAAATCTATTTACCCGTAATTTACAATACTATATCGTCATATGTACAAATTTTGTGTGCGGTGTTCGCATAATCGGGATATGATGGCATAATTAAAATGGAAAATGCTCTTCATTGTATATTATGATTTGCACAAAATGAAATTTTAAATTGAATATGTATTACGATTAATCCACAATTTTGCATACAGTTTTTTTAAGCAAGCAAAATGCTTCAAACAGTATCAGGTTATCTGCCGTTTTTTCTTGTAAAGAAATGTTCACTCGATAGAGAAAGAGCAATTCCTTCACTGCTTTTCTTAATTAATTTTGTCGCCGTAATACGTTTGATATAAAAATTCGCGAATTCTTCATAATTGGAAAAAAATTGTTTTAAAAAGAAAAAAAACATCACGTTTCATTCATTTACATAAATGTAGACCCCAAATCACATGGAATTTATTGCGTGTAATGAGTGGTTTGAATTCATACAAGAACTGGAGTGTGTTTCATAGAAAAACCAACTCATAAAACACGCTCTACAAATTGCTGTGAGTTCCATGAAACAATTCGTGTTCGGAATTTCTATCATTTTTTTCTTGTGACCAAAATCATAAAATTATGACGAAGAAAGAAAGCATGTGTCCGCATTGTTAGTGGCCAGAATATTAGTGCGAACCATTTTACAATTGACCTTCACACAACACTCATTGCATTTTGCGTTGTTTTACACAATCTTTGGGTGATTGTGAAGAAAAGGAAGAGAAATGTTTCTCATAAGCGACTTTATGGTTTAATTGCACTTTGGGTCTATAGTGATGGTGACCCAGTGCCGTTCTGATGCATAAACTAAAGATTTCAATTTAAAGTCCATCCAAGAGACAATTTTCGTTACAAATTATTTTTGACTTATTTGTAACAAAAAATTGCCGATATTAATAATAAAGTTGTCCATCCATCTTGTGAATCTTTGGCATATGTATGCTAGCGCAAAATGGTGTGCTAAAAATGCCAAAACTCTGGTGATTCTGAACCATGAAACTGTGGTTGTTCAATTGATAATTAACTGACAAATTCGATTCATTTTTTTCAAACAACGAACTAAATTTGATTGTGCAAAAGTTTCTGATGAATGGTGACCATTCAATGGTCATCGTTGAAAAAAAATGAGTAGTTTCAGTTCGAGTTTAAGTTTTTTGCACATTTCTCTTCCTCTCTCTCTCTCTCTCTCTCTCCGCATTCACGTTCTACTTTTTTTTTGGTTTTCCATCTAATGCATTTTGGTTTGGTTCTGCGTTTAACGCATGTTGTTTTGGTATTGTGTTGTTTGTTTGTCTCTTGTTGTTGTCGGTTTTTGTCGTGCATTTGTGCAGCATGTCCGTTTCGTACCATTCATCATATGGGCACAGTTTATATCTCATTTTTCTTCTAATTGTATACAATCCCTGGTACTTTTTTCCTATTAAGCCATATACATTTCGTTACGCTGCATTTTAAAACAAAGTCAGAATACAGGAGAAGTGGCTACATGTAGCGCACCAAAAATATTTATGGCAACATGTAATTTGAGCATGAAGTGATACTAACCAGAAAAAGAAAGCCGTCAGCAATGACGAATTCGTTTCAATCCCACCGATGTGCATGCATCGTGGAATGCATGTCGTCATTGCAACCGATTGTTGCTTTACTGTGTTCCAAATTCATTGCAATTGACATATCATGAAAGAGTTCTCTCAGTGGTACATTTTAAAAGAATTCACCAAGTAAATTTTGGCGAAACAAGAAAACTTCATACAAAAAAAGAATCATAATTTTATTTAATCAATTAAAATAGATAATGATAAAAATGATCGAATCAAAAGCCGATAAATATGTATCGGTTCGCACGCAATAAAACTATAAAATATTTATGAGCTTTTGCTTATCTCCTTCCTTCGTTCAGCCTTTTTTGGCCATTTTTAGATTTGGGAAAGGGTATGCAAAAACAGGCAAGGGCTTAATTTTTTACGGCAAAGTAATTTTTATATTGCACCCAATATATTGAATACTTTGTGAAACGAAAAATCTTTTGTTGACTTTTTTTCAATATAATGGAATCACTACGTTGCTTGTATCTTAACCATTTCTCCGCTCTCTCCTTTGCTTTTGCATTTTTCCAATTCTTTTTTCGAATTTCTTTATAAGCTTTTATCCTTTCATTTTTTTTCTCGCCCTTTTGCCATCGCCTAGCAAGTTGTAAGCCAACAATATGTTTTTATGGATGGATTCAGTCTTTTTCCATTTTTCTTCTCCTTTTATTTTACTCTTTTTTATGGTACAAGTGAAATGGAAGGAAGATAACATGAAAAATACGAATGAGTGAAAAAGGATAAAAAAAATGTTTATCGTATGGGACGAATATCATTCCCAGTTATCTTCGCTCAGTAAAAAGAGGACTTTTATGAATATTTATTATAAGAATTCACGAATTTATGATTATATTTTCTGCATTTTTCCACTTATGTGTCGTATGCACAAGTTAAAATGCCAACTCCATTTTAGCTCATTATCTTCTATAATTTCTTTACAAATAAAATATATTTTGCACAATGTTTATGTAATGTGTTTTTTTTGTGCACATTTTTTATTTTTCATTTTGGACCCTTTTTTCAACAGTTATTTTTTTTTTTTTGTTTTCAGTGCTCAAATCTATTGTCAAATAAATATTGGAAATAAAGAAAATGTACAAATGGCGTAATGATAACGTAACGCAAAATGAAATATAACAGCTCATTATGTTTTTATGGATTTTTTTTTTTGATTTTTCAAAATGGAAACGACCTATTGTAAAAAGTACAACATTTTGCGAAAATAGGAGAATCTGCAAATAGTTGAATATTCGCAGACAAATCTGCCTAAAGTCTTTATTTCCTAGACGTCCGATCGTAATCATGTGCTTTATTTTATAATTGGAGTCCGTTTTCTAATAATCGAAAGAGAAGGACGCTTAGGAAATAGTGCCTTAAAGCAGAATGTTATTTTGCACAGTTTATTTAAAAATATCACTTGATTTCATAATATATGCTACATACGTCATCAAGTTTTTCGTTTTAAAGCAGCAGGCTATGTAAAAAATGCATAAAAAAATAAGAAAAGATTTGAAAGATAAGTATCGAAGACATTCAACTGGGTAGTATTCTATTGGTGCGCAGCATTTTCAGGTGTGCAATAAAACAGGAAGGGTTAAGCTTAAGCCAGTAGTTTGCTTGAAACTAAATGGATTGACTTCTCTTTGAGCGGATAATCTCATCTAGTGATAATTTTTGCGTCTCAGTAACTAAAGTCAAGTAAACAAACTAAAGAGTAATGGGTAGCAATTTCATCGGAAGTAAACTGAAGAAGAGTGAGTTTTCTAAATTGGATTAAAGTCAATGGTCTGAGAAAAACGTTCAGACTCCAACCCGTCATGTTAATATTTTTCATATGATGATCATATAATAAACATTTAAAACCACTTTTCCAACTAAAATATGTCACTTTTTATTTGATACAGAATAAAAGTGATATTTATATTGATTTCGGTTGAATTGATTGTATAAGTTCTGCAAAATGTCAACAGTGCAAAGTGAGAACGCTGAGAATTTCTGAATTGCATGCATAAATGAAAGACTTTGCGACAAAATTGATTTCCCAGAGGAAGAATGAGAAAACGCCATTAAGCTTGCGCATTGACAATGCACAAAATATCACATTTTCGAATATGATAATGTTAATTTTACCTACAAGAATCTGAACTTTGAATGACTGCAGAAATTCAGTGTATTTTTATTTGGTTGACAAAATTTGGCAACATCTTCTCGATGTGCACTGCAATTTCTGGTCGATACAAGAAAAAGTCGTTCTATGCAGTATTTGCAATTTGATTCAGTTACATTTTTGGTGCAGTAATTATCATACATAATATATCTTATACCGAATTGGACGCCATCCGAGTTTTAACATCATTATTGCGTTCGTTGTACTGAGTGCGTCTGCAATGTATTCGGCGTTTGCGCTACTATTATTATCTAAGTTATGTTCGAAATTAATATGAAAAAATATGAGTAAATATGAACGCTTTTGACAATATGCCAAACCGCACAGATATATTTAATGCCAGTATCTTTTTACCACTTCATAAGTTATGAATAATAATTATTCATAAATAAGATTCATATGGATCCATTTAATAAAATAAAACACTGCACTATTTTCGATGCTTAAAAATTGTAAGTAGTCATGCGTTTCAGAATTTCATATCCAAAAATTCAATGTACTTACAAATGGAATGGATGTATTCCCTCAATTTAATTGGAAAAGAAAGTAGTATATTCCATGGATTTTTCAAGTATTCATTTGTTGCGGTTTTCTGGCACCGATATGTATAATTTATATACACACAGTGCGTGTCTGAAAGTATCTCAAAGTTTGCTTAAAACATTCATCGAATGGCAGTATCCGAGTTAGAATGTCTAATATTTTCTCTGCAATACGGAAATGTGCACATTAATGGATATTTAAACAGAACTTTCAATATGTGAAAAAAGTGAATGCGGACAATAAACGAATGAAATATCGTTCAGTACTTTATGACTTTACGAATCGCACTTTTCATATTCCTCGAAAAAGTCTCAAATTATTCTACTCTTCGTTTCACTTCAATGTCTTCAAAACGACATTTTTACGCACAAAATCCAAAACAACAAACCGAAAAATGATCGATGTCGGTAAAAGGAACAAGAAAAAAACATTTACATTCTTTCGCTGATGTGTTTATGAGAGCCCATATAATCATAAAATCATATTTTTAACACAATCGCAAAGGTAAAAAAGAGAATACGTGTCATGTGCCTTTGAATTTGACTGAAATCAGCATGTCCTTCAATTTAGGTACAAATGAACATAGACATACGTTAAGAGAATGCAAATCGATATTTTGCAATGATTGAAAATTTCATTTTTATTGAATAAAAACAATATCGATTGCTGCACAAATTTCAATAAAAGACAAATGGTTTGGATTAATTTGGTTTGACACATGGGCATTGTTCGTCCTAAGGAAGTGCAATTAATTTTCAATGTATCTATTTCACCAATATGCATGCCCTCAATTGAATCAATATTAGTTTGTTTGCAATAGATCAATCTAGTAATTTAATCGTTCTCACTGCTTCTATTCATAAACTAATAAGTATAAATGAAAATTAGCCTTTGATATTATCAGATACAGAGGGATACGTTTTCGAAAATGAATGTATTTACCTTTGTTTTGTAATTTTTAATTTTGTTGTACTACAGTAAAACTACATTGGTTTGAATTCAGAATAATTTGTTTTTTAGATGTTGTTATATTTATGGGATTGTATTTTTTATTGTAAAATAAAATTCAATACCAGAGAATTTAAATATTCGTCACGTTCGATCAAACGCCGAATATTTTCGGTCATTCGTTGATGTACAGCTGAGCATTGGTCAATACATATTTCAAGAATTTACACTTCAAAACGTTTTTTAAATCCAATTTAGTTTAGTTTATATTATCGAATAAATACAACTGATTTAATGTGTTTTGAAGTAACTTGAAATTCCCTTCCTCTCAACAAAAACTTGTAATAATGTTAATAGACTTTGATGATATGGTGTAGAAAACGCGGTGTGTATGATATGAATGGTATTTGGTAAATAATAATAGGGTTCTATGCACGCTTCAGCCATTAGTTCGCAATAATTCTAAATGGTGAATCGAATTAGGCGAAAAATTAATATAAAATTGACAACGCCAATCTGCACGTGTGTTGTGACATAATATGGGTTCAAATGATTTTTGTGCGATAAAACATTTACAATTCTCTCTCTATGATAATAGAGAAACTCCTATCATCGTTGAAGTTCATAAAAATGTAAGCATTTACGACAATGAATACAAGATAAACGACATTTTTTTTTCAAATAAAATTATTTTCACAGACTCCGTATAAGCTTGACACGTGATTTAAGTGATTAGCTATCATTTCAAAGATTTTGTTGATAAAAGCAATTGCAGCATGAAATATTATATACAACATTGCAAATAATTACCAACGAAGTGGATATGAAAATCCAGAAGATAAAATGCAATTGTATGACAATAATTTATGAATTGTCGATTCTTGATATTTGATGAACTAGAAATCAAGCAGATTTAATAGTTTAGATAAATTCGATAATATGCTTAGTACATGATAGAAATGCACAAAAATCACTCATAAAATGAAAGTGGCTCGACGTTTGTCTCGATCTTTTCAGGCATTCATTTTAATGTAGTATTATAACTATTTGGAATGAATCCAAAAATAATACACTGAAAATCTGGCGGTGGTATCTATGAAAAGTCTAACAAATTAATCCATAGTAAATAATTTTTGGTTGCAATGCTTTTTATACACGAGAGTTAAAAACATATAACAACTCACTCGGTGTGCTTACATGATTTTTTTAGTACAAGATCGGTTTTACCTATTTTGCATAACACATAGCGAGGGTTCCATCGTATCAGGCGATGAATTGGTTGGCTTATTGGTTCATTTTATTTTTTTGTTTAAATTAAGATATGCTCAGACTGTTTCGAAGTGGAAAGTGAGTTGTTAGAAAGAACCTTTGATTGATATGAAATAAAAAGATACGTGAATATTGAGTAAAAAAATATAGATAATTTATCATTTTTACAAAATTATTCAATACTTAGGAGTACTTGAAAATATATTACAAAAAATCAATATACACTATTACAAATCACTATTACAATTTACAAATCAGTTTGTTCAACATGAACAATACAAGATATTTAAATGAGAAATGAAGAGATTCAACACTCCAATTTGTACGGCTTAAAAATGTTTGTCTTTTCGGATTTCACTATTTTCTTCGAGTCCACAGTTGGATGATCAATTTTTTTGGATGAATATGACAGAGAATTCGTTTCTGACATATGTGCTAGTGACAGTGTATTATTTAGGCCAAATCTAAAATCTTCATTTAAATACGTTGACACATTTGAAGGCATTGCCGTGAAAGTTGGATCACTGGTTGGGTAGTTTCGATGTTGCATGTGGTATGGCGAATACCATGCATATGGATTCGTAGTAGCCGATGTAATTTGTGTCGGAAAAGGTATCTGCGACATCATTGGCGCGTAATATGACATACCAACTGAACTAGCCGCCACCTGAAGTAATGAAGCAGCAAATGTTGGATCGTTGTAAACCGCCGCATACGGCCAATTTATTGTCATTCGTTGGTGTTTATCCTTCATACGACGATTTTGGAACCAAATCTAAACCAAAAATAGACATAATATTTATGTTAGTCAATTATTTTTAATTCGCTTGATTTGATTGATGTTTCGAATTTATGGTAGTTGTGGTTTAAGTGTTGAATTTGAGTTTTTTTTTTTTTTGGGAACTCAAATTTAAAAACCACTCAATTTGCATAAAATATACTCAGTTGAAGAAAAAAAAAATAAAAAAATAGCAAAAAACGACAAAATATGTACCTTGATTGTCGACTCAGGAAGGTCCAGTTGATTAGCCAATTCACAACGACGTGATCGTGACACATAATTCTGCTTATCGAATTCTTTCTCCAAACAACCCAATTGCTTTCTTGTAAATGCAGTGCGGTGACGGCGTGTTTGATCAACAATTTCACTAATTCCCATTTTTAGCACAAAATATTCAATTCACAAACAATAAATGTGTTGGTAAGATAAATCAGCAGAGTTTAAAAAAGTAAAATAGTAAAAAATGCACTTTCACAGTTTTCAGTTTAAAGTTTGGTAGAAACTTATCGGACGAGAGACAGACGGAAAATGATGAAGTGTCGAGCATGGCATCAACTTAAATATGTTTTCAGTTGTAGTTGCAGAGGGGCGTAGACACGACCATATTCACTTAACACCATATTATCGACATAGAGACTACATTGTTCAGAAGCGAAACAATGCACAAGGGAGAAAATGAAAAGAAAAACTACAAAAAAGAGAATTGTTAAAACACACTTGAAATTGAATTGGCTTCATGTTATCACGTCTTATAATATGGACATTACGACAAATGTGAATTAATCTTATTACTTATTTAAAATAAGTAATAAGATTAATAAGTTATTTATTAATTTAAGATTACAGGTTTATTTATTAAAAACCAAATGATAAAAAAATATTAAAAATCAATGAAATATGAGTAAAAAAATAGAAAATCCATCATATGTTAGCAAACAAAATGTCTTGAAATGTTTAGACCAAATGTATTTGATCCTACAAATGTACACAATATCATAAAATGAGTACGAAGCAGAGGAGACAGATTTTGAGTTAGGTATGACATGTTGGTGAAAAAGAAAGAAACTTTTTTAAATGATTTTATGTTTGTTTATATGGCTTAATGTATATACTTAATTGCACATTTTGCAACACTGTACACAATTGAGTAAACAAAGAAAATGTCAAAATATCTTAAGAATATGAATAAAATGTTTAAAAACAATTATTCGTATAGAAAAAATTCATTTTTAATAACCGAACTGAGTTTGCTATCATATGTCTTCATGTACAGTGCCGTCAGAAAATTTGAGACCAAGCTCATTTTTTTCATACAATTTCATACAAATTGACGATTTTTTGGAGCAATATTTAATATATTTCGGAAATAGCTAGACCCATAATTTTTTGTACACTTATTATTTTATTTATGGAGAGTAAGCTAGTGAAGTTTTACCGAAAAATATCGACGCGTTTAAAAAATATCCGAGGTTTGCACTTTCAAGTGTGAAAAATGACACCTTTCGAGAATATTCGAAATTCTGTCTATAGAACATAAACAAATATGTAAATAGATAAAATGTGTCTATTGCAAAAAAAAAAAACATGTTTTTTAGATTTCGATGCAAAAAGTGAAACTTTGATTTAACAAAATGTTCCACTATAAGATATTTTTTAAAAATTTGAATTGAATTCATTCATACCTTTAAACTTTTTTGTAGCACATTTCTGACTGTCTTAGCTACTATGGTTGCTTTATGCATCTACTTATGTCGTTGATGATCGGAAGAGTTCAAACCAATAACATGTTCGTAAATATACGTGAGAAAATATATGATAACTGGCTATCATATACCGCCATCGCCGACACCGACATGGTGCACACACCACACCATTAACCTTTCGCATACATAGACTTTGATTAGAAAAAAAAAATTCAATCTGTTTTATGATTGAATTCATCATCGGCTCTATTCACAAAGAATTCTATCTTTTAGTTGGAACATTTATAAACTGTGTGAACACTTCAGCGTAAACACTTTGTGGATGTGTGAAACTTTCAAATGTTTCATCTTTTCATTTTTATTGCGATCAACTGAATTAGATTTTGATTGAAAAATTTAATACCAGCTAGCATAAAACAAAAAGCGAATTCACATTTTGATGGAGATCAGCGGCGGATATCAGAGAACACTTTTTACATTTTCAATATTTTGCGCTATATGTGTAAGCATATAAAAACGGTCGTATTCATTCTTTAATAACAAAAAACAAAGCACGACGACAATGGCAGCTGGACAACGCAGCAACTTCATTATGGTTGTCACTATTTATGTTGGGTGGCACAAATTTGTACCATTTTTGATTTAGACGATCGAAATTTATGCCATTTTTTAGTTTCGCTGGCAACCGCACCATGGCGCTACTGTCAACGTTGCTTGTCATCGTCGCGCTTTGACAAAAAACAATCACAACAACTGTTTAAATCTATTAAAATCATTGTAATCACATAAATCCTAAAATTTCTTTCGTATTAGATGGGATTCTTTGGCCACATTCAGATTGTTTTACAAAGAACACTGTCTGACAATTAATTTCAATTCAAAGAATCCGGGAGTTTAGGAATAAGTTTTTTACACTTTCGTTTGTTCATCGAATCTACGTGTGTTGATTCAATTCACTGTAACTTTTTCGATTCAAAGTTTTTATATACACCAGATTTATTTAACCAACATTTTCCAAAAATGTAGAGGGGTAATTTGGTCTGTTTTTTTGTGTTTTTTTCTGATCATTTTGTGAAAGAAAAGGAAAAGGTGATTAATGCGGAGAGAACTTGCCTAAAAATCCTTAGCAAATCAAAAGAATTTTCTCTCGTCAAAAGCCCTAAGTATATACCCAGCCAATAATTCAAAGGAAAAATTTCGAATCAATCAAATAACAAGATATCGTTTATGTTTATTTGATGCATATTGAATTGCGACAACAACAGCCATGGAACTCAATTTTAATTACAAACAATTATTGTAAATTCATTTATTTGCGTTCAAAGAATCAAAAAATTTGACATCACCAAACAAAAGTGTCATTTTATCATTCAACTCGAAGAAGGTTCAAGGAACCAAATTAATTTATTGTTATTCAAGTATAATGCACCATGCAAATTATTTATTACCATGGGATGATTCATTTTTTTTATTTTATTGGTTCAATTAAAAGACATTTTTGGAGAGAGAGAGAGAGAGAATGGGGCAAAATGTTCAATTTTTACACTGTCCCAGCAATGTATTCAGATATTTTCAGCACACATATAGAAGCTTACGTCAGTTGAGTTTAAAATATTCGTACAAATTATCTAAAAAATTGTGTGTCCCTAATCTGTATTTGGTCTATTACTAACGGTATAAACGATAAATTCAGACTTCAAGCTACAAACCAACAAAAAATAAAATCCAATGATTTAAAAAGATTAAGACGTAGTCGACCATTCAAGAAATATCGAAAATTTATACGTTTAATTTGGCAAAAGAAAAGTTTGTTGAACCAAGCCAAATTTCTTTGAGCAAATAAATGAACATGTGATATTTTGAAGTGAATACAAAAATTGTGTGTTGTGGTAGTGAAGCGGGCGAAATAACCAGCTCAAGCAAGTTCATATTGCCCAATTTAATTTTAAAAGTATAAATAAATAAATTTAATTTTCGAGTGATAAGAGACCAATATTTTCTTAACCATTTATCCTTGAGCAGGTTTATTCAAATAATGTCATGGACGTATAAAAAGTAAAAATAAATTGGATTAATCAAATGTCTTTATGAAAAATAAAGTGGCAAAATCTTGCAGCTTTGTGTACGAACATATTGCAACTTGCGCAAATAATTGCAAAAATATGCAAAAGCTGTACTTTATAATCAATAGACAGTTTCTTTGGCCATTTGATTGTATTAAAGCACATTTAGACTCCACGATTTCTATCTAGAGAAATAAATTTATAATCAAGGTTCAACGGACTTATGTCATTTGCGAATTTCTCAAAACAAATACATTTAAAAATGTCTTTCCATTTAACAAATGAATTAATCACACGGAGACGATAAGAATTTGTCCTATGGTGCAATAAGCTTGATTGACGTAGAAAATCTCGCAAGATGAGACTTCTTATTAAATTGTCAAATAACCCGAATTTTTTGCCTGTAGACAAGAGGACGTTTTTTGACTCAAACAAAATAAAATGTCTTACATACGTAAGATGAACGTTTCTGCATTGTGACCCCAATTTGGGGTCACCAAATTATCCTGTGAAACCACATTTTGAATTACGTTTCAGGGGGAAAGTTATCGTGTTAACAATTTTAAAAAGAAACGATAGATTGGTGTTCTCTAGCCCCGAAAACATTCAGAAAACATGTGTTTGTGGGATCTTAGCTTTTCGACAGATTCCAATACTTTACTTTACACACTCAGTATGTGCGGAAAAGTAATAGGGGTACCTCACATACAAAATCTTCGTGTTTGATCCAAAAATAAAAAAAATTGTATGGAGGTACCCTCATTTTTGATTGAAATTTCTTCAAATTTGCTGAGATTACTTATTTTGGTAAGAAAATAAAATGTACAAGTTTTTATGGTGATAGCACTTTTTCCAAACATCCTGTCACTTTTTCCAAATGATTTATCATGGACTAATATTTTATTTCAAATTCAACAAATTAAACATCAGTAGCGAACGACTTCGCCTGGAGACAATGAAATGAATAACAATAAATAATGCGAGTGAACTGAGTCCGCTGAGTTATAAAGATACCGTTTATTATAACGTTTTATTATAATTGTTAAGCCTTTTATGAGTCCAAAATTTAAATAAAAACATTAAAGTTAATTGAAAATGAGATCAAAAATAACCAATAAATTGGCAGGTTTGTTGTGTTTTCAAGATCAGTATATCAGTTATTGTGATTGTGAACAGTTCCAATCGTCAAAGTCAAACGACAAATATACGGACGAAGCAGCACAGCACTGAATAGAAACAACACGAGCATAAGTTCCGCAGTTCAAATGGATTTTTTGTATTCAAGCACGACAATTTGGTTAAGTATATTAATCATATTAGGATTTATATACGTTAAACGAAAGTACAGTTACTGGCAACGGCATGGAATTCAATTTGTAAAGCCAAATTTTCCCGCTGGAAATTTGTGTGCTCTTCGACAAACCGAGCACTTGTCACAGCTTTTGGCTAAATTCTATTCTGAACGAAAAAATGGTGCGCCAATGCTTGGTCTCTATTTCTTTTTAAGTCCAGTTTTATTGATCAACGATTTGAATTTGATAAGAAACATTTTCATCAAAGATTTTCATTATTTTTGGAGTCGTGGTTCATTTTACAATGAAAAGCATGACCCATTGTCGGCCAATTTATTCAATCTTGACTATGAGAAATGGAGACCATTAAGATCAAAATTGACACCGACATTTTCAAGTGCAAAAATGAAAATTATGTTTAATAATACTATTGCGGTGGCCAATGAATTTGTTGATTGTTTGAATCGTGACATTGAATTGAATGGTGAAGCTGATGTCCACGAATGGTTTTGTCGCTTTACTACTGATGTCATTGGAGCATGTACACTTGGTATTGATTGCAATAGCCTGAGAGATCCACACTCAAAATTCCGTGAAATTGGTAAAAAAACATTTGAAGAACCAAAACTTAGTTCATTCCAACGAACGCTGGTTACTTCAAACACCAATTTAGCCAGATTCATGCGCGTTCGAGCTCATCACAAAGATGTTACCGATTTTTTCTTGAAAATTGTCAAAGAAACAATTGAATATCGCGAAAATAATAATGTAAAACGGAATGATCTCATGAGCTTGTTGATTGATTTAAAAAATGCACAAACAGACGCAGACCGATTAACGATACTCGAAATTGCTGCACAAGCATTTGTCTTCTTTCTGGCTGGATTTGAAGCATCATCCACAACTTTGACATACTGTCTGTACGAATTGGCGCTGGAGGAAAACAAACATATTCAGGACAAAGCCAGAGCTGAGATTAACAAAATTCTAGAAAAGTACGATGGCAACCTGACCTATGAGGCAATTAATGAAATGACTTATATCGATCAATGTATTTACGGTAAATTTTAAGACGCATAAGCTTTTCTTTTGTAATATTATATTATTTTTTTGCATTTTTTATATATCTGCACATCTTTTTTGCCGCAGAGTCAATCAGAAAACATCCTTTAGCTGCCTCCATAGCTCGAATGGCAACGAATGACTATAAAGTACCGAATTCGAACTACACAATCCCGAAAGGAATGCTTGTAAGTTTGTACATATTCTGTTGAGTCTATACATTTGTATTTATACAATACTGATGAGTATTTTTTTTACTTAGGTTTTCATTCCAACGTATGCTATATACCGTGATCCAGAAATTTATGAAAATCCGGATGTGTTTGAACCAGACCGATTCGCTCCCGACCAAGTTAAGAAGAGACCATCGCAATCATTCTTGCCTGTATGTTATAATACTTTTTTTAAAAAAATGCATACAACTTTACTTATTTTTTTCTCATAGTTCGGAGATGGTCCTCGTAAGTGCATTGGCTTGAGATTTGGAATGCTTCAAGCACGAATCGGTGTTGTTAAATTACTGCAAAACTTTGAACTTTCAACTTGCAGCAGAACACAAATTCCAATCAAATATTCACCGAAGAAACTCTTTCTCGAACCGGAAAATGGAACATGGCTTAAAATCACCAAAATTGAAAATTAAAAATAAAATTATAGCCATCAATAGCCACTATCAATATACTTTAACAAAAAAAAATAGCTGAAATCAGATTTTCTACATCTAAATATAATCATATTTTATCGAATATTCGAAAAATTAAGGAAAGCATTTTAAATAAGACTACAATTCAATAAGTTTCAATGGGATTATAGTGACCCGGAATCTATACAAAAATATTCATGTTACTATTTTATTGTCAACTGAGACTCGAGTCTAGATCTAGATCCCATTCAAAGCCATTCAATTATGATGTATGATCAAAGAGATTTTTTCAGCTGATTATGATTTTAAAAACTTTCAAAACAAAGATCATTTCAATAGATCTTATTTCTTTTTTACCTACAATATACCCTTGTTATTAAATACTAATTGCCAAATTATCAGATTTTCAATCAATAAATAATTTCGATAAAAGTTTGACTGTATTTCTTACGTATTAAATAAATGTATGATACATTTACTGAAATTTATTGCAAATAACAGTGCACTTATACGCTTAAAGTAGTAAGTTCTCATCATAGAGATGGAGCTGAGTAGTGCGCGAGTCTATTGGTCTTTTCTAAGTAATGTTTCTCTAATTGAACAGCTACAATTGACAATACTTTTTAGAACTGTATGCTTTACTCCGTGAAATCGATGACAACTAATAAAATGAATTCAAAGAAATTATTTCAAATATTGTTTTAATACTTTAACTAAGGATTTTTTCCAATTATTTGAGATTTGAGAGTTCAATCAAAACATTTTGCAAGAGATACGTTTGTTCAAGTGTCTCAAAATTGTTTGAAAACTACGTGGAAATACGAGATTATTTGTTACCAAGCGCTAAAACAAACTGATAACTCATAATTGATAACCTCACATAGAAAGTCAAAATGTCAAGTTCAATATTCTTGGTGACAAAGTCCTGCTTAGTAACCAGTTGATGCACTCACTGATGGAAAGCTATAAAAAAAAAATATTTGACGAGAATTCGCAGATTTTTTGTTTTGTTTGAGTAAATATATATTTTTTTAATTATGACCAATTTATCACAGCTTAAAGGTTGTTATGATTTTCTGGAATATCTGCGTTGCACATATTTTCTATATAGAATTATAAAAATACCTGTCTCTGATTACATTTAAAAGATCACCGTTCTTATATCAAGAGATAATTTCTTTTATTGTCTTGTTAGTATAGGCACACCAAACCTTAAATATTGTAATATATCATGAATACCAAACAACCTTAAATTAACATTGCAACAACGATATCGGCATTGGTATAAAAGGAGAAGAAGAAAAAGATGCATTTCATTCTCATCTCATTCTAAATTGAAAGAAAGTGACTGTGAATATTTTATACGTAACTCGTTTTTTTCGATATTGTGAATAAAATTTTGTGTCCAAATTTTAATATCGAAATTTTCAGATCAGAATTTTATAAGTGTCGAATATTTTTCATCATTTAATTTTGAACTACGATTGGTCGTTTTGTTTATTTTGGAGTATTCATTGAATAGTAAAAGGTAAGCATCATTCTTTTCATTTTATTTAAGTTCATGAAACGAGTGAAAACATTTAAACAGAACAGGTTCACGAACAAACTCGATCAATATAATATTAATATTATTTGAAAAAAAAAAAAATGGAAAAGATACATACGATGATTATTTTTGTTGAGGAAACGGCAGCTGTTGAGCTTTCTAGTTTCTATTTATTTCATGAATTTCAATTTTGATTATGTGGCGTTGAAGTTTGAGTGATTCGGATCATTTCAATTTAATTAATTCCTTTGTAAAATCAATATATTTCATATTGAATTGTTACTAATATTTTAATAATATGTTCGACATTTTCAAAACAATAAAACTGACAATGATGGGTGTTTTAGAATACAAACATTTTTTTTCGGTTATATTATACAACCAAAGCAATTTTTTCTGATAAATTGTTGTTAAATTATAGTGAACAGAATGAGTATGTTAACTGGACATTCCTTTTCAGGTTTTATTTAAAATTCAACACAGTGTCGAAAAAATTGAACGACTTAATCATGGAAAGGAAGACAAAGAATTTATCTAATGAAAAGACGACTTATTTTGATGCTTCATTGATACGTAGTGGTACTACTCGAGCCCAACGCGAATTATTTCTTATTGAACAAATAAAACCTGATGCTAGATGCAGCATTTGGTTTTATCGAGTTATTCGGGGTCCATTGGATCTAGGAATTTTGACGAATGTGATTAATCAATTTACTTTGGAAATTCCATTATTTCAAACGCAGTTCGTTTTCTATGATGAAGAACTCTGGCAGATCTATGATCGTAGCATTCACCAAGAAATAAGAACAATTGATGTCAGCAGTCTTTCCACGCCGCTGGAAGAAGCATACAAAAGCATGCAAGAAGCAGCAAATCAGCGATGCGTCATGACCCAAGATAAATTGTATGAGTTTACTCTCTACATTGTCGACAACAACACGCATATACTGTATGCACAGTTTCATCACAGCCTTCTCGATGTAAGATCTTGGGCCAAATTAGAATCCATGATCACTACCGCCTATAATAATTCAAAACAAGGCAAACTAATCGCCGCGTGGCCAGAATTGCATTTTGATGCACTTATTCAAGCAGATCTAGCCTATAATGCTTCAGCAGAACATGAACAAGACGAAATTTTTTGGAAACATCATGTGCAGTCAATTAAGCACCATGCTTACACACAGCGAAATGTCGATTCTCAATTGAAAAAAATCACTTATCGCTGTACACAGTCATTGAATGACAATGAACGCCAAAAACTTCAACAGATAGCAGCAGAAATGAATATTCCAGAAGCCATTCTCTACATTGGCGTATCAAAACTATTGTTTCGAAGTCTACATGGAAATGAATATGTAAGTCTCAGCTTACCGGTGTGCGGAACATATTTGAGGCAAGAGCTCGGTATGACATCGAATATCGTGCCACTGCTATTGCGTATACCTAAGCACGCTACACTCAAAGATGTTCTAATGCATGTTGATCATGAAACAAAATCAGTCCTTGTTCATCAACGCTATCACATCGATGAAATTCGACGATTTGCTGAATATAGTTCAAACAGAAGCTTTGGCCCTCTCGTTAACGTAATGCTCTTCGATCATGAAGAAGAACTTGAAGGTTGTCACTGTTCATCTTATTTTGGCGGAGGAGTTGATACCAATGAATTACAAATAACATTCTGGACAGATCGTCCAAACGGTCGCCTTGACATCATGTTCGACGACATTCAGGAATGTCATTCAGAGGAACAGCTTGTTGCCTTAAAAGATCGTTTAAATTTGATATTGGATCTTGTTGTTAGTGATCCGAGTATTACAGTAGCCACACTTGATGACCGGTGTCGTTCCGTCTCAACAAACGAGCAGAATGAGAGCTTTTATGCAAATCGAAGAACGCCAGTCGCAGCTGGATTTTTACAGTGGAGTCGATGTGCCGATTCACTAGTACGTCTCGTGTATGCTAACACGTGGGCAGGAAGTGATCCCAGTCCTTTTGCAACCTCAAAAGTACTTCTTGTCGATCGAGTGGTGAGCATAAGTGAGTTGAAACACGTAAATGGTATATATATACGCAAAGAAGCACCAGGAACATTACTGGCAATTGACAAAAATGCTTGGCACGTTGCTGTTGCAAATGGGGTTGTTGAAATTAGTCATTTCTTGGATGAAAATGGGCGAGCCATATCAGCTCGGATACTTGCGAACCAATGTCATCTTCTCGTAGGCGATCAAATTCCAGTTATAACGACTGAACAAGCCATATTTTTGGGCACATCATATGCACAGGCCATGCGATCAAATCGCCATTGGTCCCATTTTCTTACCAACTTTGAACTATGTAAACTTTCAATAGTGCAAAACAATGCCAATCAGCCACCTGCATGGGCCGCATCTGCTTCTCAAAGTTTATTACCTGAAGGATCCAGTGCCACAGAGCTTATCGCCGCATGGCTCATTTACATTGCTCGAGATACCCAAAAGACACAATTACAAATCGGATGGGATGCAACTGAATCGAATGCCATTTTCAAAAATGATGATGTATTGGCAACGCGAATTTTTGCTGAAACTGTACCATTTTCTACATCCATCGATTTGAGTGATACCTTTTCAAGCGTTGTGGCCAAAATAGAGAGAGATTGCATGGAACTAGTTGACAGCTTACCATGCTTGTCAGATTTGATCGTTCGACATGCCACATGTTCTTCAAATGAATTGCGCAGCAAAAAACCATGGGCATTAGCTGTGTCCCTAATCGACATCCAAGAAGAATGCCCCTCAAGAGACGCTCACGGCAGTTTACTCACGCTTCAGATCAACAAAAATAATGAGTCCTTCCGTTGGATCTATGATAATAATAAGATATCAGAAGAGGAAGTAAGCCGCATATCATCACATTTGCTGGTTTTACTTGCATCGGCTCATAGCATAGATCAATCACAGAAACCTGTTGGCCGACTGAATTTGCTACCCAAAGCTGAGCGCACACTGCTCCTCAATAACTGGAACAAAGCTGACATAACTTATCCTGCTGAAAAGTGCATTCATCAGTTGTTCGAAGAACAAGTCAGGTGTGACGGATCAGCGATTGCTGTCGAATGTGAAGGAGAAACATTGAGCTATTCGGAATTAAATGCACGGGCAAATCAGCTGGCACATTACTTGATCGCACAAGGCGTCAAACCAGAAGATCGTATTGCACTTTGCGTAAAGCGCAGCACAAAAATGATTATTGCCCTTCTGGGTATTTTAAAATCCGGCGGTGCTTATGTACCTCTTGATCCAGCCCACTCAAGTCGAAGGTTTCAAATTATTCTGCAGGAAACCGAACCAATATGTGTGTTAACAGATTCTACTGGTCAAAGTGCACTTGGAGACCATCAGTTTCCAGTAGTGGATTTGGACAACACCTCGCTTTTCGCCTTTCCGATCGAAAACCCAGATCCACTCAAGCTGGGACTCACTCCTACTCATTTGGCTTATGTGATCTACACCTCTGGCACAACTGGAACACCGAAAGGAATTTTGGTTGAACATCAGCAGTGGACACGTCTCTTGAATGTTGCATA